GTGCCTATGAGAGGGAAGATATCACTGGCAACAGAGTTTGAAATAATCTCTGTTCCAAGTTTGTCCAGTCACACCAAGCCCAAAATGACTAGCTCAAGCTGAGCACTGGTAGCTGCTTCTACTTCTCATAAGTCAGCGAGATGGAAAAAACTGCCAGGTATGCTTCTGAGTCCTCAATGAACGATCAAGCCTTGGTCATTGCCAGCAGTGTGGTCACAGAATTCCATCTAGTGGTCGTTGGTTGCATTACAAGCCTCTCATCAGAAGGGACTCTGCTTACGGGTTAAGTGTGAATTGTTTTTATTTCTGATCCTTGTCTGCCCTCTAATGGCTGAAAAGCCTCAGTCACAGGAAGGCAACCTTCACTCCAATGAGCACGGACATCATCAGCTCCCCCACTGAAAACACACATTTACCATATCCTTTTTGTGCATCAAGGAAACCGGACCACTTTGACAGGCAGGACGATGGACGAAACAGACCTTTGGCCTGCCAAAGCAAGATGGTTCTATGATTATTACTGCAATTGGATGTGTGCCGCTTTCCACATAAATGTCCCGCGAAGAAGCTCACAACACAACGGGAAATGTCAAGACGTAAGTAACATAAGAAGTTGCATTATACTGAGCCAGACCATTGGTCCATCTAGCTCAGGGTTGGCTACACGGAGGGGCAGGGGCTCTCCAGTATTCCAGACAGGGGCATTCACATCCCCTACAGGAGCATGCCAGGGACCTGAGACCTTCCGCATGCAGAGCAGATCTCTGCCACTGAGCTATGGACCTTCATTCCAGTAAACAGTCTAAATAACAAGTCATTCTGAAACATAATGGAGTAAGCCAAGTAATTTTGATAACACAAGCATCATAACAATTTAAATTCATTCTATATATTAAAAAGCAACAACCACTGTTATCAGTAAAGGTAAAGGGACCCCTGACCATTAGGTCCAGTCGTGGCCGACTCTGAGGTTGCGGCGCTCATCTCGCTTTATTGGCCGAGGGAGCCGGCGTACAGCTTCCAGGTCATGTGGCCAGCATGACTCAGCCACTTCTGGCGAACCAGAGCAGCACACGGAAATGCCTTTACCTTCCCACCAGAGTGGTACCTATTTATCTACTTGCACTTTGACGTGCTTTTGAACTGCTAGGTTGGCAGGAGCAGGGACTGAGCAATGGGAACTCACCCCGTCATGGGGATTTGAACCGCCTACCTTCTGATCAGCAAGTCCTAGGCTCTGTCGTTTAATCCACAGTGCCACCCGTGTCCCACTGTTATCAGTATTATTTGTCAATTGCTCAAATTTTGGAAGCAGAGTCTGTTGTGAAAACTTTCCAGGGCAGCCAGGCATTAAAAAAACAAAAACAAAACCATAACCAGCAGCAGCCAGTTCCTCAAAAGTGCCAAGGGCAGGAAATAGCAAGCAGATTTCTTGTGCCGTCTACCAGATGATCTCTCACTATGTTCTGGTGCAGGTCTTAAAAACTTCAACAGCAAAAACACAGGGGTGGTGGGGGCAGTGTTCTGTCTCTTTCGTTGAGCTCTGGCTGTTCCTACAGTGGCTGGAGGGCCTGTGGTCACTGCAGAAGGATACCCACAGAAACCCACCTCTTCAGGGAAGCAGGTGTTTTCACTTGTCCCAGGTTAGGCCTCAACCCACAGCTAGATTCTTAGGAGCTGGGTGGCCTCAGCCTACGTTTCCCCTGAGGAAGCTTGCCTTATCTTGGCAGAACTAGCAGGAACCAGAGGAGGAGGAGGAGGAGGAGGAGGAGGAGGAGGAAGCAGTTGCTCTTCCTTTGCTTAGCTTTGGTTCCATTGATATGACCCTTGAGTACATAATCCTTTATCTGGGATAACACAATTCCCCAGTTCACACACCCTGGCAAAACCATAGCTCATTCCCTTCTGGGCAACCCGTCCAATGGTCTTTTGGGGGCAGAGCCAGAGGCAAAAGTGGGTGAAGCAAAGAATGTAATTTTTACCTGTGATAGGCTTGCCACCCATCCCTTTGAAAAATGGGACTGTCCTTTAATACACACACACACACACACACACACACACACACACACACATTAATGTTCTGTTTTTGAACTTGGACCTCATCTTCCTCAAAACTGTGCAGCCAGGGGATGGGTCCGGTCACTGGTGGGAGGAAGGGAGCAAGAGAGGCTGAGCAGGAATTTGTGCAGGGAGAGGGTTGGTCCATGGGAGAAGCAGAGCAACAGTGATCACAGGTCACGGGCAGAGGGTGCGGTGGGTCTGGGAGGAGGCGTTTGAGAGAGAGAGATTTAGTGTGGGCAGAGGGTGGGATGCAGAGAGTGAGAAAGCGGGTTTGCACAGGCGTGCTGTGGTGGAGAGTGGTGGAAGAGTTCGTGCGGACACAGGGCTGGTAGGAGTTGGAGAGAGGGGGTTTGCATGGGCCTGGTCCCATGAAGTCTCAGGAGAGAGTGTGGGCACAGTGTGGGTCAGATATTGAGGGGGAGCGGTTGCACACAGATCTTCCCAGGTCTGTCCCAAGGGCCATTTCAAGATATCTGGAGGGCTGCATTTGTCCCCCAAGTCTGAGCTTGCCCACCCATGCCATAATGAATGATTTACTGCAAACACAGAGATTTTTCCCACTTACCTCCTCCCTTGGAGCAAGTGGGGGCAACAAACCACACTCAGCATTATGGCTGAACCAGAGATTGTGGTTTATTTCACTCAAGCCAAGAACAAACCTTAGCTTCACATGGTGGTTTGTTTGGGGATGAAACAAACCATGATCCCCAGTGCAGACATGACTCTAAGCCAAGGAATGTGGGTTTTTGCTCCTACTTGTGCTAGGGCAGCCAAATAACAGGTGAATGCAGCTCTGATGACAACTTTGCCACAGACCTTCCAGAAGTGATCCCACAGACAGAATGTAAGATGTGCAACTGGCCTGGAGCTCTGTGGAAACAAGTGCAGCTAATTTGCAGAAATAAAATGCACCAGCCTGGTTCATCTGTCTAGAGACCCTCCGAGCAGTGATGCTCTAAACCCAAGCAGGGGGGCACTGGGTGATGGAGGCACAAAAGCAACACACACTGTACACAATTGCTGTGAGGTGTGAGTCATTAAACCTTCTTACACAAGCACACCCACAGAGTACAGCTGTGAAAAGAGGCAGCCAAGGAGAAGTGGTAGGAATGCGTAGGGTATTTGCAGATGCAAGCAGACAAGAGGAACTGCTAAACAAAGCAAAGAGCAGGCAAGGATCATGGGGGACAAAAGAGGAACAGGAACTACAGTTCCCAAATTTGTTAATACCCAGCTCCCAGAAAGCACCATCAAAGGTTAACACAAAATGCTAGAAAACTCTCCAGGAGCCCCTTATTTTCCCGAGGAACTGAGATGCTAAATTCAATGATGACAAAACTTAAGAGGGCCCTCTTAATGCCAGTCTGGTTTTAGGATTGATGCTATGGTGCCAACTTTGTGTGGCATTGCTACATATCACAGAGACTATGCCCAACACAGAAAAATATGATCTGCAGGTTTCCACAAAGCCTTACCAGTCATTACTGATGGCACGTACTCAAGCCTGTTCACTTCTTTAAAGATATGGGGAACACTTCTGCCACTCTCATGTGTGTAAGAAATTGCTCTCAGGATCTCATATCTGTAGTATGCTCTGTTTGTCCAATTATATGTGCACAGACTGTGTATCTAACAAGTGAACCCAGTGCCATAAGTATGAGACACACTGAATCTTGTTCACTTATATAACCTGTGAAGCTGGCTATCAGTTGCAGATTTCAAGAACTTGCACAAATCTTTGCAAATTGCCAGGGAAGTCAATGGGACTTCGGTGGGCATCAGCAATGATAAGCAGGCATGGGTTGTGGCTGGGGGTCAATGCCTATCATCATGACTTCCTCTTCTGAGGCAGCAGTCCCTCTCCCGCTTTCAGGTTCTAAGTAACCAATTTATACCAGCTGCCATTCAGATTTTTCAAGCTAAAGTGTCATCCCAGCTACTTTTTGGGATCCCAATATGAATACAAGCATATAATAGTGATTTAAATAAGATACACTCAAGTTTCTTGAGACGTATCCTCCCAAATTCAATCGAGTATGAGACGATGTGTGCATGATGGAATATTGGGCGTGGAGTAGCACTATAAAATAGTGACCACATTGCCATTTTCGTTCCCAACCTTCAAGTATGCCTTCCAATTTACTTAAGGACTCCTATAAATCCAGATGGCTCCAACTCATACATAGCAGAATTAGATCTACTGTATTGAAATTGACTTGGAATTATTGCATAATTCTATTATTGCATAATTCTAGTGAGCAAAATATTTATCGCAATATCCAAATTAGATTAAGGGATATTGAAAAACAAAACATTGAGTCAGCTGTAGATAAAATCTGCTCCCCCCAAGTTCTATGGTTTAAATACAACTGATAACAGGATCACTTATATCTCAAAGTTAATAATTCCAGCCCATTTCCCCCTCAGATTTTGTTAAGGGCAGATATTTAAACATCCCTAGAAATAATAGACATTGAGGATGTTATTTGAATGTGCCAGACACTGTAGAACATATTCTTTTCTACTGTCCACTGCACAACCAGTTACATAAACACATTATTGCTCCTTTTTGGGTAGTTAAACATCATGGCACAATGAAAATATCAGATTCTACCTGTCTGATATTAACCTGGAGGTAACTGCAAGGGTGATTGAGTTACTGTCAATAGTATCTCTTAGTAAATGATGCAGTTTAGCAGGAAGACACTCCAATAAAAAATTCTGTTACTATATATCTTCTATGGCTGCTTCTTTGTTTAATTTTTTGTATATGGATGTTTTAAGATGGTCTATATCTGTAATGCCTAATAATGGTTTGGAGAAAGAAAGCTGTTAGGTTCTAGATCCCTCTCCCTGGCATAGCACTGCTGATCCCTACATTTTCAGTACATTTGGCTGGTATATTGCTTAATCCACAACAGAGAGTGACAGATGTTCCTCTTCTGTGTCCTTTGTGTCTAGTAAGGCAAAAAACCTGCCGTTGTGCAAGACGCTGTTTTCATCTTTACTTGCGAATCTTCTCTCCTTATCTGCTGGAGTGAGATGGAGAACTTTGTGCATCTGATCTTCTTGGTCTCCTTGTCAGGTATGAGATTTAGAATCCTATGCTGGTTGGATAAGCAGGCTATAGGAACAGATTATAGTATGAATGGGTCAGATAAGGACTGTGTTGATATGTATGCATATCAAGGCACAATTGATCCTGCTGAAAACAAGCTATCTGGACTAAGAAACTTTTTACTAAAATGTCATTCTTAATTTGCCAAGCACCAGTGGTACATCTTACTTGCTTCTGCTGTCTCCATGTGGCACGCTTTGCAAATTGCATTGAATGGGATAATGGGCTAGGGATAGTGTGTATGGAAAGTTATGTCCACAGTGCAAGAGACTGAGCTAAAGGAGTTTGTTGGGTCTGTTCTCTGGCTGTATAGACCTAACATTCTATCATTCTGTACAGCAGATACAAGATTACGAAAACCTCAAACTGTGATCAGCCAAAGGGCAAAGCAGAAGCACTCTGTGCTAGATGAGAACATAAGGAAAACTCTGGCTATATCAAGCCAGAGGCCAACTAGTCCAGCATCTTGTTCTCACAATGGCAAACCAGATGCCTATGCCAACACAACAACAGTGGAAGCTGAAGAAAGCCATCATGGCTATTAGCCACTGATAGCCTTATCCTCCATGATATTTATGCTTACTTTTATTTATACATCCATTTGCTCTGCTTGCTTGCTTGCATGCTTGTTTCACATCCCACTATATTCGGTGGGTGCAGAGCAGTTTACAGCAGCTTATCTAAATGTTTGCACCCTCCTCTTTGCCACAGGGGAGGGCTGAAAATGGGCAAGGAATGGAGTAGCGATGAGATAAGAAATACTTGAATCATGATTGGATGTCTTTAGCAAAAATATTTGTGTGGATCAGAAGCAGTAGTTAAAAACAGTCATTGGAGGCTGTGAGTTTAAGGGATGGTGATGTGGAGGGGATGCTAAACCCTTTCTCATCCATCCATTTCTCTTCTTCTCAATCCTCCCCTCCACCATTTTTCTCCTCTAAGGAGAACATAACGCACACACTATTAAAGGTTGCCAATGTGCAAAATATACATCATTCTGCAAGGGAATGAAAAGGACCAACACATGTACAGAATGTTATTGATTGCAAGGGAGTTGCACTGGTGTGAACACAACCATTCAAAGCTGCAACAAGAGGCATTCTGGATCATGGAGCAACATTAAACTGTTTCTTCAGGCAGCAGATTCCATTTTCCCTGTCCCAGCTCAGAAAAGGGGTTGAAGGCGATTCTGACTTCAAGTGCAAAAATCTCTAAGTAATTCCCTTATGCGGTGGAATCACCCATGTCAAGAAAAGATGCACTAGAAAGAGCTCCTCTGTCTATATCGATAGATTTCCTTCTCTCGAAATTGGTCGCTAAATCATAGAATCCTAGAACTGTGGAGCTGAAAGGGACCCCGAGGGTTGGATAATCCAACCCCATGCAATGCAGGCAGAGGGCTCTTCCAAAAGACCTGTTTGTTGAGCATTCATCCCAATTTGTTGCACAAATTTGCACAGAGGTTGTACGAGGTTATATTGAGCATGCATCCTGATTTGGTTGCGTGGAGGTTATATGACATCACCATTATCCCACACTTTGCATTACATTTCCCCATTATTTTTCTAACTCCCCCAAATCTGTGGGTTTCGGGGAGAGGATTTGTTCTGCAAGACCATCAAATCCACTTTGATTGCTCAACCTAACTTTCCTACCGTATGACTGAATCATACCCATAAAATAGTGACAGTCTGGAAGCAGCCTCAGGCTGCTCTTCCGCAATCCCCATATTGCACCACTCTGGAGCAGGACTTAAGGCAGAGGCAGCATGCGTGAGTCACATCTGACCAAATCATACTTTACATTACTCACGCTTTTTAAAAATGTGCTTAAGCTAGCCATTTTTATTTTGAACAAGAAGCAGAGTTGTGGGCTTCTGATCCTGAATTTATTCCTGGTCCAAATTGACAGCCTGCTGCATATTGCCCCCACCAGCTGCTTTGTGCTACCATAAGTAAAGTTAACGGTGAGACGTGGGTGGCGCTGTGGGTTAAACCACAGAGCCTAGGACTTGCTGATCAGAAGGTCGGCGGTTCGAATCCCGCGACGGGGTGAGCTCCCGTTGCTCAGTCCCTGCTCCTGCCCACCTAGCAGTTCGAAAGCACGTCAAAGTACAAGTGGATAAATAGGTACCACTCTGGCGGGAAGGTAAACGCCATTTCCATGCGCTGCTCTGGTTCGCCAGAAGCGGCTTAGTCATGCTGGCCACTTGACCCAGAAGCTGTACGCCAACTCCCTCGGCCATAAAGTGAGATGAGCGCCGCAACCCCAGAGTTGGTCACAACTGGACCTAATGGTCAGGGGTCCCTTTACTTTACCTTTAAGTAAAGTTAACAGCACTTTGGGGGGGGGGATAAACAGTCACAGGAGAAGGAGAATTTTCAGCCGCAAATCAGTTTGGGCCTGTCCTAGATCAGGAGCATGTTCTGGATTAAGGCCCCCCTAGCTGCTGCTCCTTCACACAAAAATGCCCAGCTTAAGCAAGATTTTTTTTAAAATGTAAAAAAGCATGAATATAACAATGTTTTTAATAGGCCTTAGACCTGGCTCCAAGGTCTCACATCTATTAAAACAGCCCAGTAATCTTCCCACCAGTGATGCAGAGACTTCAGAGACCTCAAGGTTTGGCACAAACTGAATTTTGAAAAGTTGCTGACTAAAGCAATTTGCAAGCAAATCAGCTGGGGTGTGAGTGGGTGGATTTGCCTTCTTACATCGAGGGATCTCCTCCCCATTTATGCAGGTCATGTATATTGTAAAATATATATATCTGAGCAATGTGGGTGGGGCTCTGGATGATGTGTCCCCAGTGCTGTAATATGGTCACCTCCCATTACAAAAATGGAAGTATGGAATACAACCCTTCTCTCCTTCCTAGAAGCATACGCGACTGAGGATGTTCCAACGGTGTATGGTGTCGAAGGAGAGCCCATCACCATCAATTGCACTTACAACCCCCAGGAGAACCAGTGGAGAGAGAAGAGTTGGTGCAAGCTCATCAGTGAGATGTCATGTCAGCATGTTGTCAGTGCCCGGCGTTTTTGGATGCCGTTCCTCAAAAGAAAGAATGGCACCACCGCCATCGCGGACAACATCCAGAAGGGGATTCTCACAGTGACCATTGACCCATTCCAGAAAGAGGATGCTGGTTTGTATCAGTGCAAGACGGAATTCTTGGGGATTACGAATATCCTGCAGAAAGTGAAGGTGGAAGTTCGGACAGGTAAGTCCCACCAGGGTCTTTAATCAGCTGTAAGCCTTGCCTTCTAAATAGTTATGTCTATGATACAAAATTATGACCCCAAATAAGATATTAGACCCACTGTACAAAGATATGATGAAAAGCAGGCACAGGCGTAAACTTCTTGCTCAGCAGAAAGGAGGGCGAGGAAGAGCTTTTTTCTCGCTCTTCTTGTATAGCCTTCCCCAGTGCTTTTTTTCTGGGGGGACGCAGGGGTACACATACCCCCCAAACATTTTGTGAATCTAAGTTTGGTCTCATTGAGGGGCAGTATTTCAATTTAAGTAGGAAAATGAGAGTACCCCTGAACATTTTTTAAATAAAAAAAGCATTGGCCTTCCCTATTTCAACAAAGATGGAAGACTTCAGCTACAGAGCAATGACTGTAAGGCCGCAGTCTACACACTTACCTGGGAGTAAGTTCCATTGAGAACAATGAGGCTTACTTCCAAGTAGAGATGTATAGGGTTCCACTGCTAGTCCAAAACCTACAAGTGGTCTTTTGGCTCATCTATACTGTTGCTTAATGGGGATAGTTAGCTTCCTGTGCCTCCATTAATTCTGTGTTGCCTGAATGTCATTCTTCTCCAAATTAGTGTCTTCTCATCTTTCTCTCTTCCTCAATCTGGATTTTCTAATACCTTCTCCTTTTTGGAGTATCCCTGGCATGCAAAAATCCAGACTGAGAGAAAGAGGAAAGCAGTGGCTTGAAGAACATCCTATGCCCAACAGTGAATTGATGGAGGTACAAGGAAACTTGCTACCCACAATGAGCAACAGTATGGGTGAGCTGGTCATGTGTTTATTCCTGGTTGCAACAGCGACCTGCTCTTAATCATTGCCTTCGGTAAAGGAGCGGAAGGTAAATAGGGGTTTACTCTGATCAATCTCTGACTGATTTGCAGTTGATAGACAATTGGAGTCAGAAATCCTTGCCCAACAGAAGCAGCAACTAGAAAAAGCTTTCCTCCTCTGTACAAAGTTGCTAGGAAAACAAGTCTTGGGGGAAAACCAAGAGTGGATTTATTGTGTGAAAGGACTTTTTAAAAAAAGAATTTAGCACCAATCCCAAATCCCTGGGCAGAGCTTATGCTCAGATGTACCTTGCTCCTTAATTCTTAACATATGTCCACTTGCCTGGGCCACTATTCTGCACCAGCTGAGATTGGTGGACCTCAAGATTTTGGTAAAAAAATCTACCCACCCCTGCCTTAAGATGTTCTTATTTTGCCAACTAAATTGCTGTGTTTCTGCCACCAGGTCTATGGGAGACTGAGGCACCTGAGGAGCCCAGAGCAGTGCACAGCATCTCCAGGTAAATCTGTACATTTGTTTTATTGGCAAGTCTCAGGTATATTGTCATACATGCAAATAAATATGTGCATATACATGTACTTTGCCTATATGCAAATATCTACCCTGTCCTTCTGTGAGAAGTACTCTCAAGGGACTCAGCTATACAGCTGCAAATATAACGTTTTAAGTGCATTATACAAATGTGATGCAAGATGGCGCTGATGGGATAATAGCAAACTCCATATATATTCTAAAACATTTTTTTTTAAAAAAACGTCACAGTGTTTTTTTATATCTGTGTGGATTCAGCCAAGGTGGCTTACATGGCAAAATCTGAATAAAAAACAAGTTGAAATGAATAATAACCATTAGAACACAAAAATAACAGCAGCGCAGGAAACATCTCAGCACACACTTAAACTTCATCAGCTGGAGGCTGGGGGTGGGGGGTGGAGCTGGAATGAATAAATCCCATGCCAAGCTACTCTGGTATGGGGAGTGCACAACAGGTTTTTAAGTAGCAAGCTTGGCAGTTCTTACTATAGATAGGATACAAATACAGTGGTACCTCTGGGTACATACTTAATTCGTTCCGGAGGTCTGTTCTTAACCTGAAACTGTTCTTAACCTGAAGCACCACTTTAGCTAATGGGGCCTCCCGCTGCTGCCGCGCCTCCACTGCACGATTTCTGTTCTCATCCTGAAGCAAAGTTCTTAACCCGAGGTACTATTTCTGGGTTAGCGGAGTCTGTAACCTGAAGCATCTGTAACCTGAAGCTTCTGTAACCCGAGGTACCACTGTACAGTCGAAGCTGAAGCCTGGTTTTTCATTAAGGAAATTTAGGCTCTTTCCCACTGATGGTTTGTGAAGCCATGTGTGCATGGCATTAGCCACAATCCATGTCTATCCTGCAGATGATTGAGAAGTCCTGCGTTTTGGTGTGCATCCCCCCCAAACCAGCTTCGATCTGATCTGAAAATGTTAAGACGTATTAAGACATCCCAACACACTGGTGTGGGTAGAGAGTGAGTGACTCGGAAGCACATCCAGCCATATTGAGGTGTACAATAACATGCAGGTACTTTTTCAGGCAAGGGGTGGAGGAGGTAAGCAACCTCGCTGCATTTTAAGTTGGCAATATGCATACAGCCAGTTAGTGATGAAGCTTGATGGCAGAGATGAGAGACAGATATAATGGCTTTAATAGACTTACGTCCTTCCTTGGGACTTAATCGCTTTTTGGTCCAGCAGGTTTTTAGGTGGCAATGTGTATAGATCAATTAGTGGTGGTCTAGCCTTGCTGGATTTTGGAGACCTCTCTGCTCGTTCTGGTGAGTGAGAGGTACCAGACTCCTGCCCTGTTGGTTTCACTGTAGGAAGACAATAGCTTCCTTCACAATCTTGAGTGTCAAGGAAGTTAGTAGAGTAGATGCCACACCTCACCTCACTGAGCCTGGGCCCGTTCCTGTTCAACATGTAGCCTGCAAAAAAATATAATAAAATAAAATAATAATAATAATAATAATGCTGCCATGGAGCAAAGCACCTCATCCAACTAAACTGCAGGGGATTCGAAGGACTCAGATGTGTTTCCAATCCTTGGAATTAGATTTGCCTGACCATCTCTTAAGAAATTACCCTAATCATCATCTCCCCCCTGTGTTGCAGAAGGGAAAATGTATTCGAGGCCCTATTGAACCTTGTATTTCCTTGGAGATTTCTGATTCTCTGCATCCTCCCCTTTTCTTGACTGGCACATTTCACCAGGGATATGCAAGATGATTCTGACATAGAAATTACCCATTCTCATTACAGCTCCTACACTTGTGTTGCTAGCAAGTGACAAAGGGTGGGCTCAAATAAATCTGCTAAATGTGATTACCTTGAACATAATTCACTGGGACTCTTCAGCTGTGACATCTCAGGGGTGATTCAGCTGTTATTTGCCCACGTAAGGCACAAGCAGACATGCTGGTAGCAGATTCCAAGCCAGGCCTATAAAGCAAGGCAGTGGGAGAGATTTAAAGCACAGTATGAGGAGGCAGGAGGAGAAAGCTAACTCCATCCCTCTCCTATGCTTTCCTGATGAAACTTGAATCAATCCAATGCTTCATACTAGGAGTAGCCAATATGCTGCCCTCCAAATGTCATAGAATCATAGAGTTGGAAGGGACCCCAAGGGTCATCTAGTCCAACCCCCTGCAATGCAGGAATCTCTATTAATGCATACCTGACAGATAGCCATCCAACCTCTGCTTAAAAACACCAAGGAAGGGGAGTCCACCACCTTCTGGAGAAGTGTGTTCCGCAACTCTTACCATCAAAAAGTTCTTCCTAATGTTTAGTCAGAATCTCCTTTCTTGTAACTTGAATCCATTGGTTTGAGTGCTACCTTGAAGAACAGGAGGAGACAATCTTTCTCCATCTTCCAATGTGACAGCCCTTTTAGATAGTTGAAGGTGGCTGTCATATCTCCTATTAGGCTCCTCTAAACATACCCAGTTCCCTCAACCGTTCCTAAGGCTTGTTGTTGGACTACAACTCCCATCAGCCCCAGCCAGGATGGTGGGAGTTGTAGTCCAACAACATCTAGAGAGCACCATATCGGCTACCCCAGCATTATGCATAGGGCTGCATTGAAAAATGGTCTGGAAACTTTAGCTGGTCCAAAATAGGGCAGCAAGATTATTGTGAACAGGCTGAAATGGTGACATTATGCCAGTGCTTTGCTATCTGCACTGACTTCCAGCCTATTTCAAGGCTCTGTTCAAAGGTCTGGTATGACTTTTGAATAGCTTAGAGCCAGGGTACCTGAGGGAACAACTCTCATATACCTGTCTGCATGCTAAAATAATATTCAGAGGCCCTTCTCCATCTGCCCACCCCAACCCCATTAGGCCAGGCAGACTACTGAAGACAGGACCCTTTCAGTGATAGCCCCCTACTTGTGGAAAGCCCTCCTCAGCAGGGCTCACTTGACACCTACATTGTGGTTTTTACTGCATCTGGATAAGGCCTCTTTATTTCCCCAGGCTTTTCAGTTTTAAAAGCATGTTTTGGGTACTTTTTTAGACCTTAGGACCTATTGGTTTTAGTTTAAAGTTGTTTTAACTGCTGTTTGATTTCATATTTTTATAATATTTTTATATTTTATTAGGTGTGGGTGTTTTAAATGTACACCATCCAAAGAAATTAATGTTAATGGATGGTATGAAAACGCTGTAAATTAAGTGCTTTTTAACTATTTCCATACTGGTGGGAATTCTTGTTATACCCTCCGCCCCTAAAGTCAGAAAAGTTAGCTTTTAAAAGAACTGGCTGGGGTACTGGTAGGGGAAAGGTTCATTCCCCACGCCCAATCCATGCTCCCCTGCTTTATAGGGATTTGTCAGGAACCCAGTCTTGACACTCGGGATTGATGCCATCATGTGTACTTTGGCCCTTAGAGAACAGAGTATTTCCAGTCTCTGTAGGAAGAGTTTCCACCCTTCATTAGGCTTCCATGTGGAATGCAAACTCTTGGCAGCAAAATGAATTTTATACTTGCCAAAAGCTATGTTAAACAAATGGAACTCGACAGGAGGAACATTTTCAAAACACAATGAACTGTGAAGGAAGGCGAAAGCACCTCATAAATCTAGCCAAGCTAAAAAATCTTAACTTTCCTCTTCCATGTGAATGTTAAGACCCTCAGTTCCATATCCCACTTCTTCTTTTTTCCATGGAGCTCCATGTTCCATCCAGGCTCAGACCAGCTTTGCTTCAGCAACACGGCTGCGTCACATTCCTTCAGACCATGGCTGTGTACACATTGCCATCTTAAAGCACAGCCGGGTCATTCTTTTTCTCAATGAAAGAACTAAATCCTTTTGGGAGGGATGGAGTAACACATCATACACTGTATTTCATAAGAAAGGACAGAATATATACGGATTGCAGCTAATGCCATGTGTACTCTGTTTCCCAACCCAGCAGTGGCACCCCGCTGAATGCTGAGTGAATGGGAATGTGCACACAGCCCATGTCCTGGGCTCCGGGGAAGGCAACTCAGCAGCTAAAATCTGTAAAAAGCACTCCCACTGCCCTCCCCTGGAGCTCAATGAGATTGAGTGGCATCAAGGAGCACCCAAGACTGCATACTTACTCCTTAAGGGAAAGTGTGAGTCCATCAAGGACAGCACAAACCCCAAGACCTACCCCTCAGCACCTCCGTCTTGTCAGGCTATGGCTGGTGGCTGATGCAAATAAAGATTCATTCATTCATTCATTCATTGTCAGGCTCACTGTCCATTTGTTATTCATCATCTAGGGCAGTGTTTCCCAACCGGTGTTCCGTGGCACACTAGTGTGCCGCGAGATGTTGCCTGGTGTGCCGCGAGCGAGTCCAAAAAAGGTTGGGAAACACTGGTTTCTCTTTCAAAAAGGAAACGTGGGTTAAAGCGGCGCCGCCGCCTCCCACTCACTTTCCTGCTCTGGCTTCCCTAACAGTTTTCCGAGTTGCGTCACTGGATCCAGCCCCCTTTTCCACATGTGACACGGGGCTGGAGGGAGGGAAAGAGGGCTTTACGTCGCGCACAAAGGCAGCCTCCTAGAAGCGCTCTGGGCCGGAGCCGTTTCGCCGAAGGCGCCGGAGGACCCCCACCCTCAGCTCCTTCAGAAAGGAAGCCCCGCCCCTCGGCTCCCTACGCCGCCAGGCAGCTCAGCTGACTGACGAGGACGTTCTGCGGCGGCGGCCACCGCACAACCACCGCAGTTGCTGGCAGCGTCCGCAGCGCAATAAGTAACAGCGCCTGGTGCTGCCAACTCTTTCTCTCTCTCTCCCGCCCCGCCCCCAAGCTCTCGCGCGCCCCGCGTCAACATCGCCGCACGCAGCTTCCCGAGCTCGAGGCCAGCCGCTGCACGCACGCGCCGGCTCGTCATCGGCTCCGGTTGTTGCCTTTCTCCGCCGAGGTTGGTGGACCCCGAGCCTAGGCTTCCTTCCCGCACCCCGCTTTCCGAAGACCGCACACCAGTTGGGCCAGTACATATTCCCCTCCCGTGACTGGAGCGGAATAGCCCTTTCTCTTCTTCCCCAACCCTTGTCGTTGGAGGAGTCCCTCAGTCCCTCGCTTTGCTGCCTCCTCCCCCCCCCACCCCCAAAGCTTGGAGGTTCCCCGGCAAGGGGGAGGGGAAAAAATTGAAAGTTACACTTTCGTGCGTCCCTCCCGGCGTGACGCTGCGCGCTGACGTCACGGGGCTGTAATGGTGGTGTGCCTCGAGATTTTTTTCATCAAACAAGTGTGCCTTTGCCCAAAAAAGGTTGGGAAACACTGATCTAGGGAACTATTCAAGGTCTCCTAAAAGTGGCATACAACAAGCAGAGCTGGGGACTTCTTCATATATAGGAGATACTGAGCTTTGGTTATTCGTGCACAGCTGCTATTGCTGCATGTAAATATTGACAAGAGTGGGAAGAGGGATCTTTGAGGTAGAGCCAAACCATCTATGGGCAGCTTCTGATACCATACATTACATTAGGCTCTTGCAACGTCTATGAGCCCTGCAACTCTAAGCAACTTTGAATGTGAGTTGGGGCATCAAGCAAAAGGAAATAAGCCTTGCACTGCAGAGTTTGGCACTCTGAGCTTTTATGTTAGTGCATCAACGGGGGAACTCTGCCCACCAAATGTTGCTGAACTCCAACTCCCAACAGCCCCACCCAGCATGGTCCACGGGAGGGAGTTGTCATCCAACATCATCTGCAGGTCCATGAGTCCCCTCCTCCCTGTGTTACTGCATACAAAGTTAACTAGTTAATCTCAAAAATAATTCTGGAACATTGCACCTGAGTCCCCACTGCTTAAAGACCAATAAAACCGCTGCAGTTTCATTACTTCACTATTTCTGCATTTGCAGTGCAATTCTATTCAGAAGCAAGTCCCACTGTGTACAATGAATAGTTCCCTGAGTAAATCTGAAGGACTTGTGATCAAGTGGTATATAAATTTGATGAAAAAAATACATAGATAAAGGAAATGACACCTGGACATATTAATTAGAACTGGCAGTCGCTAGCTACTCCAAGTGAAATGGCTGCAATGTAAAACAGCAACAGCCATGCCAAGCAACCCCGAGTGGCTCAATTGAGAAATTGTTTCCCCTCCTTTTCTTTGTTATAATTCTTTTCACAATAAATTACCTGCTTCATGCCCTGTCGCATTTGTATCTTTCCAAAGCACCCTGTCAGATGCTGAAGTCAATCTTCGCTTCCTTGTGGCTGGATTCTTGGGTTTCAAGCTCCTGGTTGCTGTAGTCATCTTGATCGCTGCCAAGAGCCAGTGCAGCAGACAGACAAAGGATGAGAGCCATGGAGAAAATGAGCACCAGCTCTTCCCAATCACAGGTGATGTCAGTACTCCGAGTGCAAGAGACTACTGAGAGCAGGGCTGCTGCAGAGGTCCTTTTTAAATGACTTCCACAGAACATGAATGGGGCTGGCCATATCTTGTGCCAACCTAGTAGAATAGGGAATGTCAAGGTGAGTCCCTCACTGTTCTGTACCCTAGACCACCTTGCAGAGCATTTCGGGGGCATACAACCAGCTTACACAAGGAGACAAAAATGCTAAGATGGAAGCCCAAATGTGTATATTGTTTCCAGCAAGGCAAGTGCCTCCTTGAGCTACGTCTAGTCTAGGCCTGATGCAGCCCAGAATCACCTGTGACATCACAGAATTCTGGGGCCTGTTTTCAGTTAGTGTGCAGAGCTACCCACAATGCAAACAGCACACCATCTTGGATTTCTGCATTGCTTCCTTGAATCGTGGCTCTCCTGATGGCTGCCTATTCTAGCCGTGTTTTTCAGTTGCCCCCTCCCACAGCTGATGGGTACATTCACAATACAAATTCATGACTTTCCACAATGAATCCTGATGACAAGTTCTGTGAAAATGCTATAAATTTGTTGAGAGACATCCAGCAATCAAGCCCTGTTGTGCCTTCTGGAAAAACCCATGGCATTGCTAACCCCAAAATGGAAATAATGAGTCAGGAATTTAGTGTGATGCAATGGGCTTGTAGATCATGAGTTCTCTAAGTGACACATTTGAGGCATTGCTGTTTGTTCACAAGCTTTTAGAATGAATTGCTGTTTCATTCTCCTACTCCGCCACCCCAGTATTCCAACTGCAAATTCATTTCTTTAAAATGAAAGCTTGGAGTGCTGTATATTAAATAGAGAAGATAACTTCATGTGGTAGTAGCGACCTTGGGTTATATTTGGATGCTTGCTTCGTTTAATTTCATAGCACAAATGTCTCTTCTCGTTTCCAGGCTAAAAGGGGAAGTTTGGCATAAATGGGATGTGATGGAAAGATGAATGAGTAAGAATTCAAAGATAGGTGCATAGAAATTGCTCCAATAGACAAGATGTGAAGGACATGCTTGCTTTCTCCTGTGGCCTGTGCCCCTTGACCAATGCAAGGACTGTGGTGGTTCCATTTATAAAGCCAGATGTTGCCAGCAAGTCAAACTAAACAGCTTTGCTGTAGACAATAAAGAGTATCAGATGGATGCTCCGCCCAGAAGCACTTTTAATATTATCTTGAGAACAATCTGTATAGTGTAAGAATAAATGTAAGAATGTACATCTCTTTCTCTAAGTTCTTTCTGTTGCAAAGGGAGCATAACAATAATTACATGCAGAAAAAGAAATGAATGGCTCACACAATATAAACTGCAAGAACTCAAAACAAAGATAATAAAAATAAATTGTAGTATGAACACATAATAGTTCCTTGAGTGAATTTGAAACTTAAGTATGAAAATTATGAGCATATGTAAAAAATTACCCCAAAGGTAACTGCTGCATTAGAGATGGAATTGGGGTTAGGTTGTACACTACATCAGACCCTCATGTTCATGGGCCATTTACGTACACGTGCCCAGAGACAAGATGTATCCTGCCACACCAGACTCACAATGGAATCCTGTTCATCTTTACTCAGAATTCCAAACCTAGAAATTTAACTTCTAGAGACTTTGGGGAGGGAGATGAACTCTGAAGAACACTTGCTCTAGCAAATCATGTTTACAGTGCAATCCTGTGACACAGTAATCTGAGAGTAAGTCACAGTGAACACAATAAAACTTGCTCCTGAGCAAACATGAATAGGAAAGCACTGTCACAAAACTTTAACAAGGCATCCCCAAGAGACAGGACCAGGGATGGTGAGCTGACAGGGACAGACAAACAGAGATGCCCCTGGTAACTTGGGAAGGATGAAGTCCTTTGTCATGATTTGGTAGAATCTTGGAAGCTTATTGATGCATGTTATAAAATATACAGGTCTTGTGCACAACCTTGGGAACTCAGGTTCAAACCCCTTTCAAAGTCTTCAGGGCAAGGAGTCTGAAAGGTCAGGTCCATTGAATGTGGTGAACAGGGCAGCCCTACCATTAGATAGAGTGAGGCAGCCACCTTAGGCAGAAGCTGGGGGAGAGAAACTTCATCCTTGCCTTTGACACCTAACATATGACCATCCTGTTATTAGGTTGGAAGGGCAGGCCAGTAACTGAGTAAATCAGCAGCAGCACTAAAGATTTCCACTTCTCATGGTCAACTTAGGTCTTTTTGATACCTGGGTGAGGAACACTTCAACCAAATCAAAAGCTGACACAGATATCCACACATATCATGCTGAGCACCAACCTAGACCACTGGCACCAAAACGTATGAGAAACCACCCAACTAGAAAAGTTAACCAACAAACTCAAACTAGCAAGGGGACAAGCTACAGAGGATGCCTTCACCCCAGTGTTGTTCCCCTTTATTACATACACAGCACAACAAGACAATGACCTATCCCACCCCCAACAGCATACAAATCAATATGGCTAACCTGACCCAACACCCCGGCCCACCTCCCTCACACAAATAAGCCACACCGCAATCAGCTGAACACAACCAACTAAGCTCGGGAACCCCTAACCTCTCACAATATCAATAAACACCAATAAATACATAAACAACCTATCCATGTGATGCTGACACAAACCCCCCTACAACAGAACAAAATAACAATGTCCCCATCTCTCTCCCCACTCCCCTTTTCCCCAACTGCAAGATGTCTATGACAAAAATGTCTCTCACCAAACGTGTGAAAAAGACTATGACTTGAAAGTGGAGATGATAGATGTACCGTTCCCTGTTTATCTGTCTGCTTTGTAACACAAAACCCCCCAATAAAAGCTAATTTTAAAAAATCATGCTGGGCACCAACGATGCTCATAGTTGCTGTTGTTTTGCTCACTTCAAAACTTGGCGAAGTGATGAAAGAACATCCAACAATCAACATACTTTTAAAATGCCGCAACCTACACAGGCCTGTAATATTCTTGGATCCATAAATAAATACAGATAAAGAATGATTGTGGGGATAAAACACAGCTTTAATAAATTATTACAAAATGGCCAGCACAACCATTTTTCTCAAGGCTTTATTCTAACATAACATGCCACAAGGAATTTAGGGGATTCCATCAAATTACTCTTTTCTTAATGTTGTGGTTCATGCCCCATTTAAGGGAATCCAAATGAGGAGCTCTGTTACTACAACTCCTACATCTAAGCCTCGACATGCATGCAAATTGAGATGCGGTCACATCATATTGAGATGGGAAGCTGCAGAAAGCAGAACTGGCTTTATCAGTCGCTGCTTAGTCCACTGTCTTGTCTGGTGCGATGCATCTGGACAGCAACTGCCCACAACCCAAGTTGGGCAACTCTTCAGCGCTAAAATTAAGAACATGTTTAGAAGATCTTCCCACAGCGCCAAACCAACTCTGCTGATCTGGGACAAGAAAAGGAACAGGCAATGACAAAGGGCATTTGCTTCCTTCCTGCAAGTGCAAATTGACTCATTCACTGCTCTGCAACCTAAACTATGTTCAGCTACAAGATGGAGGGACTCCCAGGTCTTCTGCTAAGGCTGATGCTGACAGGTAAGGCACAGAGGGGGACACCCTTTCATGGCCATCATACAGAACACACTAGTATGGTGTTGAATTAAAAGTAATATGTTGTTTTTGTAGTTACAGTTTGAAAACAAGAAACAAGTTTTGTTCCCATTTTTTAAATAGAGAAAACATACAATGTCATTTATACAGTCCCAGTGATTCACAAAATGAAAGACTATGAATGTTAGCCAGATCATAATTCTCTTGTGGGCAGGGCTGGATTTAGGTTTGATGAGGCCCTAAGCTACTGAAGGTAATGGGGCCCTTTAGGGAAGTTTTTAATATTTAATGCTGTATTGTTTTTAACACTTGATTGGAAGCCGCCCAGAGTGGCTGGGGAAACTCAGCCAGATGGGCGGGGTATAAATAATAAATTATTGTTATTATATTATCAACAGCGTCCTTTGTCAACAACAAATTGCCATGGTTTTTTGTGTTGAATATATGCTATATGGTAATTTATGGACCTAATAGGTATCTAAAGCCATTTGCACATAACAAAATAAGTATTTTATCAAAGTAATTGTTGAACTGAAATACAATTAAAAGTATACCAATAGTGAAATAATTATTAAGCTCTAACTGTATGTAGGTTTTATTTTATTTGTTTTTTATGTTATATTTTGGAAATGCACATCCAGGTTTATTTTCTTTAAAAAAAATTGGGGGCCCAAGAGAGTGGAGCCCTAAGCTATAGCTTATACATAAATCCGGCACTGCTTGTGGGAGTCGGACAGCAGGGAGACTGGTCATCACCACCTTCCTTTATGAACCAAAATAATCCCGATTATTTATTTCAGTTCATACTATAATGTCAGCGAAAGAGTCTGGACATGTAATGTGATTGAAAGGAAGGCTTAGTGGTGCTTCAAGGAAAGGAAAGGCAAAGGGTCTTCTGGTACCACAAGACTCCATTGTTGCTTTCTGCAGCAGATTAACATGATGAAGGGCTGCTGGTACCTCAGTGCCAGAATACATGCTTTGCATGCAAACAGTCTCAGGATCAAGCTCTGGTGTCTCCACACGATCACCAACTACAGGTTTTTTTCTAGTCTACTTACCTAAGAGAGTAAGTCCTTAACTCTGTGGTAGAGCATAATTTGTAGGCAGAAACTGCATCTCCAGATGAATTTAATTGACTCACCTGAGAACCAGCTATGTAGCACAGCATACTTTGCATGCAGATAGTCTCCAGTTCAATCCCCAATATTTCCAGTTTGTTTTAAAAAGTTAGGCTGCAGTGGTGGGATGATAATAATAATAACAACAATTATAATTACTTATTATTATTAATTATACATACATACATACAAAAATATTATTTATACCCACCCACTGGCTGGTTTCCCCAACCATTCTGGGCGGCTTCCAACAAAATATTAAAAATACAATAAAACATCAAACCTTAAAAACTTGCCTAAACAGGGCTGCCTTCAAATGTCTTCTAGAAGTCAGATAGTTGTTTATTTCCTTGACATCTGATGGGAGGGTGTTCCACAGGGCAGGTGCCGCTACCGAGAAGGCCCTCTGCGTGGTTCTCTGTAGCTTCACTTCTTGCAGTGAGGGAGCGACCAGAAGGCCGTCGGAGCTGGATCTCAGTGTCCGGGCTGAACGATGGGGGTGGAGATGCTCCTTCAGATATACTGGGCCGAGGGCCATTGTGGGCAGCACAGCATTGAACTAAACAGACAAATGAAAGATCAACATTATTTTACAAAGTGCATTTTTACTGTTATTCTCCTAGGTCTTCTGGTGTCTGCCAATACTTTCTCACCTTCAACACATGGAATTCCATTCTTTGAAAAGCCTAGCAAGCCCGGAAAACTGGAAGAGGAGATGAAGGTGCAAGGAGAGTCCCTCAGCATAAAGGGCTTCTGTTCACAACAAAAGAAAGTCTGGTGCAAAGGAGATCTGCTGAAGGAATGTAACCCTACAGAGTCTCCTAGCCTCTCAGGGCCAGGGTGGAAATATCTGACTACTGAGCCAAACCAGAGGGTTGTACTACAGGATCTGAAAAACGGCTGTTTTTCTTTTCTGATGTCAGCTCTCCAAGTAGAAGATTCAGGGATATACTTGTTTGGGATCACTGATGGCTTGAATATTGTCCCTTTAAGAAAAATCAAAGTCATTGTTCAAAAAGGTAAGCACATGTAGGTAACTAGAACTAGTTCCTGTGGTAGATCAGGGCTGACTGAGACACACGGGGGCAGGGGGATCACGTGATATAGCTTTTCTGGGATTGTACCATAGTGTCAAATTTAATTCCCAGCATTACCCATTTAAGGAGGTAGGTTGCAGTGCTGAGAATGACCTCAAGAGAGCCACTGACAGCAAGGGTGGACATTACAGTACTGGGATAATGGGCACGTGGAAGGTCAACACTGTTTTACAAGAGGTACTTTCACTGTTATTCTCCTAGGCCTTCTTGCACCTACCAATACTTTCTCACCTCCAACACCCGAGGTTCCATTCCTCAAAAGCTCTAGTAAGCCAGGAAAGAGACTAGAAGTGGTGATGAAGGTGCAAGGAGAGTCCCTCAGCATAGAGGGCTTCTGCTCACCGCAATATTTGCAACAAGAGGGAGTCTGGTGCAAAGGAGATCTGCTGAAAGAATGTAACCCTACAGAGCCTTCTAGCCTCTCAGGCCGAGGATGGCAGTATCTCACTTCTGAACCAAGCCAGAAATTTGCACTACAGGATCTGGGAAATGGCTGCGCTGCTTTTTTCACAACAGCTCTACAAGTAGAAGATTCGGGGATATACTGGTTTGGGGTTCTTGATGGCGTGAATATTGTCCCCTTTAAGAAAAACCAAAGTCATTGTTCAAAAAGGTGAGCACATGGAGGTATCCGGATCTAGTTCCTGTGGTAGATCAGGACTGATCTAGATCACATGGTATAGTCCTCCTTGGAATGTAGCAGTTTAGTCTGCATATAATTGAGTTCACATTCTTCCAGAAAGAAAAAATGCCTGTCAAGGAAAAATGCATTCTAGCATAGCCTTTGCCCTTACTTGCCACTTTTTAAAATCTCCAAGTAGATTTTTTTTTATCTGTGGAAACACCCAAATATATGATTATCCCATCTAGTTTGAATCTGCATGTGCAGGTTCACCATCAGTAAGAGCTGTACAGTGGTACCTCAGGTTACAGATGCTTCAGGTTACAGACTCCGCTAACCCAGATATAGTACCTCGGGTTAAGAACTTTGCTTCAGGATGAGAACAGAAATCACATGGTGGCGGTGCAGCGGCAGCGGGAGGCCCCATTAGCTAAAGTGGTACCTCAAGTTAAGAACAGTTTCAGGTTAAGAACAGACCTCCAGAACGAATTAAGTTCTTAACCCGAGGTACCACTGTATAAGAACAGAGTTTGAGATACACCACCACGGCAACACATCCACAATTGGAATAAGAAAGAAATGGCTCTTTAGTTGAGACAAATAGTAACAGCATCAGTGTTCATAAAAGGAAGCTGCAAAGACAGTGTTTCAAAGATCAATATAGGAGGCCTGTGTTGTTTGTTAACGTATTAATTAATTATCATGCCAATAAGGGGACAATACTCTGGCTTCTCTTCAGATCGTATAAATCGTTCACATTTTACTAAAGAGAATAAGGGGCAAAAGAAGGCAAGTTAGCAAAATCTGAATACACCTTGGAAGAGTTACAATAAAGATAAAAGTCTTATTTCTCTTCCTTTATTTTCAGGGCAGCAAAATTACGGGACTGTGGCAGAAACCAGTGAAAATGAACAAAGGTACCAACATTATATTATTTTTAATTTAAAGGCATCTGGATTAGGGATTTGTGTTTGCTACAGTATCTATGCCTCCCACCGCTCTATACTGTATTGCAGTTGAGTCCAAAAAAATTATGTGAACAAGGAGGCAATTACAGGATTTGACTTTTCCATTCAAATAATTATATTATGGCACTTCCAGAATTTTATATCCTCTACCAAAAACCATGGTATGATTATCTGCATCTAACATGCAGTCTGCATGTGCCTTTTCTCTGCTGCACAACTGTGCTATAAAACCTTGAGCTCTTTGCAGACTTCTGTCTGACCTTGAAAGCGAAACAAACTTTATTGTGTACAGTACATGTAAATGACAGTCTAACAAATATATTAGGTACCTGTTAGCAAAGCCCATAGGATTATCTTAGGCCAGTCACTATATCCCTCAGTCTAACTTAACTCACAATGCTATTGTGAGGATTAAGTAGGGGCGGGGAACAATTTTCACCATTTTGAGGAAAGGTGCGGTTTAAAATGTAATTAATTAATAAGCAGGTTTAACTAATGCACTATGGATTGTTTCAGACTTTACCACATTGTCTTAGTCCTGGTTTCCATTGCGGTTGGCATAACAATTATTGCAGCCCTCATATTAGTTGTCACAATGCTCATCAAGAAGAAAACAAGAGGTATGATTTTCTTTTGTTTTTATGTAGCCCAGCCATTTTAAAGATTTCATTACATGCATAACTATAATAGCACCTGACAGGGATCTAAATGAATGGATTGGATTTGAATATTGTGCAGTATTGTAGCATCGAAGATGGTCAGGATTGCACACCTAAATGGCTTCATCTGAACAGCCTGTGTGCTTTCGTGTCAATATTTGCCTTTCTAAATGAAGGCTGAAAAGTCTCTACAATATACAAAACAGTAAGAGAATCTGAGGCTCTGCTCAACAGAAATTCGCAAGAATCAACTGACTACATCTCATCATTTCCTCTATGAGTTACGTGCTTGTGCAATGCATAAATGCACCAAGTGGCAAAACATCTGACATTATCCCACCCTGTGACATGATGGGCATTGGAAGCATGGGGGATGCACATCACCACCCATCTCAAACCATTCATCCACATAGCTGTCAACATTTTCCCTTTTTTAAGGGAAATTCCCTTATTCCGAATAGGATTCCTCGCAAGAAAAGGGCAAAGTTGACAGCTATGTTCATCCAGTACAACACCTTACTTCATGTGACTCAATAGCTTTTACACTTCCCACAGTCACCTTTTAAACAAAAAGGTTTGACAAAACGACTTTCAACGATGCCATTTCTTCATAGCTCAGAGAAAGCCAATGCACTGAGTCCATGTCACACTGTTAGCAATCAGTAAAAACAGTGGTACTGCTAGTTGCGGACTTAATCCATTTCGAGGTGCTGTTCGCACCCTGAAAAGTCCACAACTAGAGCGCCTCTTCTGCGCATGTGCATGCGTGATTGAGCACTTCTGCATGTGCGTGAAGCACGCAGATCGCATCTGCACATGCGGCGAACCCGGAAGTAAACACTTCCAGGTTTGCCACATTTGTAAGCTGAAAGTCCATAACCAGAGCGGAACACAACATGAGGGATGACTGTATAAACAGAACCATCTCACATATTATGCAGAGGCAGCCAACGAATGTACATTCAACAACGAGATGCAACTAGTCAGTTGTCTGATGAATGTATCCCTACATTTTGCCATCTTCACATTTTTAAGGTGTACACTTACGTCTTAGTGTTCAGTTAAAAATTTAACATGTGAAGTGGCGCACAGACAGGCACATTTATATACTAAAATGAGACTCTCTTCTTAATAGCAGCAGATGACCTGAATTTTGGTGATAACTCAAACTGTAGAATAATTACATTCCAGGTAAGATACCATTTCACAAGTTAGGAGAAAATCTGACCATGGGCAGTTTCTCCACTGTGGAAAAATAGTAATCATGAGCATTATCATTTCCCATAGGGGGAAAAAACCCTTCAAATTTGCTTTGCTTTGCTAGATTATCACATTCAACTCAGATTTTGCAATCAGATCTATGGGGATCCTGGGCCACATTTGGCATCTGGACTACAGCTTCCACCTCTTCCAGGGGGATAAGAAAGAATCCATGTTGTCATTCCATTTCCTGAAAATATACAATTGCCCAAATATAGCATGACTCTAGACCCAGCATTAAGTTGCAAACCAGGCAGTAACCTTGACTGTGAATGCCATGTTGAAAACTTTAGTAATGTACAAGTATAATTCATTCTCAGTACTGGGTATTTTATATGGTCTATGGGAAATGCATTTAATTCAGGCTCCCTTGGCGCCCACATTATGTTTTTTTCACCAAGTGAAGATGCATTTGTTTTTTCCAGGCATTTAAATTTCTTAAGATCTTTTGGTAATTTTTTGATACTTTTATATATGGTTTGCTGCTGGCGGGACTATTTTTAAATGCAATTATGTGTTTTTGATTTCCTTAAAGGTTTTTTTGCTTTTAAATTGCATTGTTCACCACGCAGACACCAAGCCAATTCCTATTCCCACCCACCCTCACTCCCAGTTCAGTTACGCTCACAGATATAGCATGACTCTAGACCAGGGCAGAGATCTTGGATGCCATGGGTATTCTACAGATTTAACTATGTCCCCCTCCCACTCAGTGGAAATGTGATTATAGGATTATTCTATTAACCATTTTCTACTTAAATGCTTATACTGCTGGGCTATAAATATATTACTACAAAAATTACTATTTATCCTAGCAGTAGTTCAGTTTGTCTTATCTGAAAGAAGTCTGTCAGAGCCAGTTTGTATTTACACATTTTAAAAAAGATAGAAACCCTTAACAGATGCAGACACAATACTAAAAATGGGAATTTGGTCTTGGAGGTGAAATAAGGCTGGCATTTAAGTGTCTATTTCCAAAAAAGACAAGCCTTTTTGTTTCTTATCCATTCTCAGATACATGAAAGCACTGCTACCGGCAATCCTTTGGACAAAGAAACAAACGCAGTATACGCCATATTGAAGAAGCCAAAGTCAATGACAGAGGATGTGACATATGTCAACACAAAGTTTCCATTAAGGTCAAGTTTCAACAAAAACCCCAGTGAGCTTTCCTCTCCAGGAGAGTGCTCTCCTGGTGTGATCTCTTCAGGATCTGTGAAGTATGCAAATATCATCTTTGGTTCACAGGTTCCACATATCAAGGACTAAAGACAAACTAGATGTATAAATTCTAGATCTCCAATTGTGAAATTCAATTCTGAAACAAAGGTGGAAGTTGCATTTGGCTGAGAATTAGAATTAAAAGCTATTTTCCAAATGCCCCTTTAACTTCTTAGGAATGTTGAACTAATATCCAGTATTGTAAGACCTTATAGTGGACCTGCTACCATCTTTTAGATCAGCCTATCCGGAACTTGTATGCATGTCAGTTCACATGGGCAGGTACTCCCATGAAAGTAGCCTTGACTCTATGAGATGGAGACACATTTGCTTGAACCAGTCTGTACACAGGAAAGCAGCCACCATCTCTAGCAGTGAATAGAATGGATGCAAAAAACAAGCTACAGTGGTACCTCGGGTTACAAATGCTTCAGGATGAGAACGGAAATCACACAGCGGCGGTGTGGCGGCAACGGGAGGCCCCATTAGCGAAAGCACGCCTAAGGTTAAGAACGGTTTCAGTTTAAGAACAGTTTCGGGTTAAGAACGGACCTCCGGAATGAATTAAGTTCATAACCCGAGGTACCACTGTAATGTGCTTTTGCTCTCCCATCATACCAGGCTCCCAAGTCCATTTCTCATTCATGCTATGGATGATTTAAAAACCTGTTGTTAAAAATTTAACAGGAGTTATAGCATGCAGTGCATGTATGAATAAGTGCTCTTTGTATAAGAAAGCATTGGACCATTTTTTCTCAACAATTGGACAACAGCTTACAAACCTGGGGAGGGACAGGAGATATTCTAGTTGAATGGTTGTATTTACCTTCTAAGTTGTGAACATCTAAAGTCAAACCTAATTGCAGCACATTCTGTACATTTAAACACCCAAGCATCCTTTTTTTCACTTGGGGGAAGAAGAGTAAACAGGTCCAGTTTTATCTCCAACACTGGAAGTATTTGAAGATGTGAACGGCACTTGTGAAGAGCCATGGGGAGACCCTTGGCAGGGAAGTTTAGTACCCTGTACCCTAATACCATTATGATCGTTGCTGTTGTTGCTGTTAATTGTTTTGCTAAGCTCAAGTTGCATCCCCATCATGCCCTTTGAACATGACAAAGGAAGCTTTGTGCTTTAAAATACAGAACTTACCTCTGCTGCAACTACTTTGGCCCTAAGCAATAACTGTCGGGCAAATGCCCAAAAAACCTTTTATCTTATACTTAAAAGTGTAGTAAATATAGTAGTCTAGTGCTTTATGTTGATTGAATTACATGAGAAAACATACAAAGACATTAAGGTCTCCTCATATACTTTTTTACTCCTCTTTTTTGGTGACAGCTGATTTTTGTGTGGGCTGGTGCCCAATAGAATGAGGGACATGGTTGCATGGGTCACATCTAAAATCCATGCTGCAGTTAGAGCATCAGCCAGCCTTTGCCTCCAGATATGGTTTTTCCCCCTGAGCGGTGTGAAACAGTTCATGATCCAACAGAACTTGTTGGAAAAGTGCTGTAGTTCATAAATACCAGCTTTCAGGTGTGTTCAAATTTTTTATCCAGGCAATTCAAGTTGCTACTTAGGCTACAACAGCTGCACTGACTATACTATGGACCAACTCCTTGTGGGCTTTTCATGCTGAAAGATAACAAATTAGTTAACTGATTTTTATTTGTCGCTGCAGAATTCACACAAATAGCTAGATTATGGAGTGTTTGTTTTTGGGGGTGGGGCAGTTATTTCATACTACGGCTACCCTAGAGGTATCTTTATCTCCAACCATGGCAGTTCCAGCAGTTGTTGTTCTCAGGAGGCACACCCTTCCCACTGGAAAGTGACAGAGATATATAAAGCTCCCTATTTGCATGAGCTTCCAGTGTTAATGGCAATGGAAGAAGTTTCACTTCTCACAACTACTGATGCAAAATTGCTTGGCAATCAGGCTCACTCCAGATATACTCCAAGACAATGCGCACACCGTTTGTTCAGACAAATCCAGCTGGCATTTTGTAAAGTCACATCTTCTTGAAAGACAAGAGAAAGAGTTAACATTTGAAAAGACACAGGTCATCTTTGATTCCTCAGCCTCTCAATGGGTCTTTAGTCTTCTCCATCTTATGGTTACCAATACTAAAGAAAGGTCGCCTTCTAGCATTATTCCACATAGGAAAGGAACTCAGGTTTCCTCTTTATTTGAAGTCACTCGCTTCAGTGCAGCCTGAAGAGACTTCTTCAAGATTGTTCTGTTGAGGTCCAAGGCACAGGAGAAGCGATGCTGATGGGCCAATGTAATCTAAAAAGGAGAACAAAATGTAGCTGCTTGGCGCATGCTGGTAAAAACACATAACCCTTTTGCTACATTTATGCAGGTTGATCCCACTCTCATGCCCTGCCCCAGTTGCCTAGATTGTCTACAGTAAACTCACAAGTTGGAAGGACAAAAGAGGATTTTGCAAGCCCTTATGATGGCTTAAGAGACTTAGTGGTTGTCCATTCTTCCGTGCTCAAAGTCTATCTATTCCACAATGGTATGAGGACCTCACTACTCTGGCAACATTCAAACATACTTCATATAGGCATCGATTTCATGTGGATAGCTACTGCACATCTGGAGAGTTTATGTAAACTTGTACGTTTAATTTCAGTTTGGTGTACTGACTGTAGTCTATGATTATTTGCATATCATTGAATTCAAAGCATGTTAATTGACCAAACCCAACATGGGTATTCCCATCATGCATTAATAAAAAGAAAGCCACACCTTGTGGTGCCATACTCTCTAAGAACCTGGGAGTGGGGATCGCTATTTTGCTACTATGTCTTAGCACCAAGATTATCTATGTCGGTTCTGTCTTACCGGCTTTTTCAACCAGGTTTTCTACTCAGCAAAGAAAACAAATGGAGGATTGCCCCTTCTCTCTCTGTCCCAACCCCCGTCACCACCCTGCCCACATACAGTAAAATAACCATACTTTTCACGCAGAGAAACATATAATAATACTGTAAGACTAATTCTTGTAAACTCAGCCTAATGCCCAAGCTTCATTATCAGGCTGAAGGAGCATCTGTGTTCTGCTATAGGAATAGAGGCTCCTCAGCACTTCGGATAATTAGGTTCACAATCTCAAGAGGAAATTCAAATGTATGCTGGAAGGTAAGTGAAAGAAACACTACAGTACACACTATCGTAATGGAATAGGAAAGCTCCACAGAAATATCTAAGAAAGCAAGCTGCTATTTTTCATTTCTTTTCAAGCGCCTGTTGCAAGTAACTCACACTGCTTTGGTATTTCGTCAACACTGTCAGAACCAGATTTGCATAATGCATTGATGTGGCAAATTCTTGAGCCATCTGGCAAAGATTCAAGACCAACATGTTGAAGAGCTCAGTGGATAACACTACCTGAAAAGTGAAGAAGATAAACAAGGGGGAAGGGGTGAGAGAGGCAGCCTAAATATTAATTGCCCTTGAGTACATTTTAGTTGTTCAGATAGACTCAGTGCAAGCCATTCTGGACAAGAATGAATTAGCACTAGGACAGTAAAATGTTGCTCAGACAGAGGCTTCCTTAGACACTAAAAGAAACTAATATCACAACTAGCTTTGCACTACAGTTTGAGATTACTTCAACCACATTCAGCAAAGGCACACACCATGCTGTCAAGACAAAGGACAAAGGTGCAGGCAGCAGAGAAATGGCAAGATGCTAGTTTGGAGAGAACAGATTCTAGTCTCCATTGCTACCCAGCTAGTAAACTCTATATTGAAGCACAGGAAGACTTAAATTTATAGTCACCTGTCTTCCCAGCAAAGAATGCACAGCTACAAGGAGATCTTCTGACCACGGCATTTCTATAATATGGCTGCAAAGAAAGGCAGAGAAGGGAGAAAGATAACAAAATTATATGAGGGGTAGTCTTTATGCCTCTCACTAAGGCTATTCCCCGACTCAAGAATATGTTAATTGTCATGTGGTTAATAACAATATTGCAGTACTGAAAAGATTTCAGGTCTCTTCTATGGAGCAGTGGTTAGAGAAGATGTGTGACATTAGGGCTGCAACCTTTGATTAATGGATAAAAAATAGCTCAAGGGCCTCGGCAGCGGGAGGCCCCATTAGCTCAAGTGGTACCTCAGGTTAAGAACAGTTTCAGGTTAAGAACGGACCTCTGGAACGAATTAAGTTCTTAACCCGAGGTACCACTGTATACTTCTCCCCTGCTCAACTATTATTTTAGTCATATGCAAATTTATGACTATTTATTGATTTAAAAACATCTTATTAATCAACTCAGGTTTCTTTAATTTTAGTCCTAGAAAACATATAAAAGTAAAAGGTCCACAGGGAAGACACAGAATGGCCCACCAGATGTTGGACTACAACTCCCATCATTTGTGGCTGCTGGCCATGCTAGCTGGGGCTGATGGGAGTTGGAGTCCAACAAATTCCTGTTTTAGTCGATTCTTTTGAATATGAGAAAACTTGTGGCTGTTATTTATTCATTGTCATATGTGTGATTGTGTGACATGCAGCAAGTGCTTAGGTTTGCAATGTTGCTCTGCAACTTATGTTCATTAAGGAGACACAGAAACTTCCCCAGTATACAGTCTCCTATATCAGAAGGTAGCAACTGAGGATTCTAGAACACCTTGACACTCATTCCCGTCATTGGAAATCAAATCCCCTTTCATGCAATTCCTATATTACATTTCATTTTACACTAGGAGAATTTACCTGAATACCAGCCTCACATACTCAGGCTCCAAACACTCCTCAATTAGTTTGCACACCAGCTTCATCTGCTCAAGGCCTTCAAAAGCAAAGATACCAAAAATTTGCATTTTATATATTTTTAAGGGGCTAATGAGAACTTTGTTTTCAGAAATCTGATGATTTAGCTAAATTGTGGACATTCTTATCTGTTCATTTCTTAAATGCCAGAGGCTGGTGATTCACAAGTGTCTTGTACTTTACTGCTAGTAGTTCTGATTCTTAAAAAGTTAAAAAATGTAGTGCCAGCCTGCCTAGAACCTGTGGGCTACAGGTTCCCCACTCCTGTCGCAAGCAGTAAGATGTACAAGCAGGTCAATTCTCTCCCTCCAGCCCTTTCCATCTGATACTCAACATTCTGTATCTCCTGGAGCCTGCTCAGCCCTCAATAGGCTCTTGAGCCCTGCACCCCTTTTCATGTTCTGTTTACCAGAACATGTCACTACCACCCTGTTTCGTAGAGGTCCCATTTTCCTCTCTAATCATGCCACCACTCAACCACCCTTCTCTATTAGAGAGAAGGATTTATGCCACCTCTACAAACAGAAGCTCGGGCAAAATAAGCTCACCTTTCGCTGGAGCCTGTATAATTGAAGAAATCAAGGTACAACAGACTGGGCGAGAATATTTGGAGCAGAACATCATCAGGGCAGTTGTGAGAGGCCAGGAAGGTGGCTCAGTCAACAAGAGAACCTACAGACCAGAAGCAGTGCAGGGAGATAATACTGTTGGATCAGTAGCAACCTTGCATACTTTGGGGATTCAGAGGCAGCTATAATTCTGTTTTAACAAAGAGGGGGGAAACAGACAACCTTCTTCAGGTTGTTTTGCATTTAAAATTGGATGGCAACATGTCATATGAGATGAGCAGCTCAAAATGCAAAACACATCTACAGGAGCTGTGTTTCCGCTATTCCACTGAAGGATAGAGAACTCAAGTTATGGATAATAGGTATACTAGTGATCATTGTCCCATTACCTACAGATCAATAGCACCCAGGCAGTCACCATCCCTTGCCGCAGGGTTGGGCGAGCCCTGGTAGCACCAAAAATAATTGCAATCCTCTAGCTATTGATATTTGAGAATATAATGCCTCACTGGTCTATAGCAATCTCCAGTACTGCACTCAGCTCAAAGTATTTTCAGTAACGTTCATATCCTCATAGGAAACTATGGCATCTGCACTCGGAGTACCATAGAGCATGATATTTCAGGGTGGTTGCCACTCATTAAAAAATGAAAACTATGTTTAAAACTATGTTTGCAAGCCCCAATTTTGGTACACTATCATTATAGTTTTTGGCCAAATAATTTCACTTGGGAGTGCAGTCCTAGCTTCCCAAAGTTAAAGGGTGGGGAGAGGAGTTAGGATGGCACATAGTCACCTTTCTACAGGCCACTCTGGGGGCTCTGTGCTAGTGGGTAAAAGGCTACTGTCAACAAAAAGCCCCCAAAGGGACTTTTCAGCATGGAGCACTGACAGCTTTGTATCCACAGGATGCAGGTCCCTGCAGAGCTGTGCCAGCTCTAGACAACACAAGCAGTAGGTTTCTAATGTGATCGTAACAGTGAATCGGCCATGCCACTCCATCCTGCTTCTCCCAACTGTAGGGTAGGTTTGCTTTGTGCCTCTCTTACTAAATGAACTGTTCTTTTTAAAACACAGAATATGGCAGCAGCAGCAACAACAAGAACACAGTCGTACCTTGGCTCCTGAACACCTTGGGAGTGGAACATTCCGGCTCCTGAACAATCAATAACCAGAAGTGAGTGTTTTGGTTTTCGAATGTTCTTTTGGAAGCCGGAGGTCCGACAGGGCTTCCAGTTGGCTGCAAGAGCTTCCTCCAGCCAATCTGAAGCCATGCTTTGGAAGTCGAATGTTTCAGAAGTTGAACAGACTTCTGGAACAGATTCTGTTCAACTTCCAGGGTATGACTGTAATAATAATTTATTATTTACAACCCGCCCATCTGACTGGGTTTCCCCAGCCACTCTGGGCGGCTCCCAACAGAATTAAAAGCACAATAAAACATCAGACATTAAAAACTTCCCTAAACAGAGACACTCAGGTTTAACAGCTCATATCAGCATCCTAGGAAAACTGTCTGTATAAAACGCTGCCTGCATCCACCATCGGATTATCTGGCTTCCCTCCACCCACCCAAGCTGACCTTTTCCTGCTCCTCAAACCACTTCTGTTAGGTTCAGTGGTTGGCTCCCCTAGTCCTCACATTTCTCCAGCATTTCAATCCTGATGCACAGATCTCCGTTGCCTATTCCTGACTTAATCTGCCGTAAACACTTGAGTTAACTGGCTAGTTTAATTTCTAAAAAAATGAGCATGAATGCTTACATTTAAACTCATAGGTGCATATTTGGGACAAGAAACAACATGTATGTGGAGCAGGGATAATAGGCTGCTGAGAGAGGAATGCAATATTCTTTAGCACCAAGCTAAGATATTTCCATTAGGGACGTGGGTGGCGCTGTGGGTTAAAGCCTCAGCGCCTAGGGCTTGCTGATCGAAAGGTCGGCGGTTCGAATCCCCGCGGCGGGGTGCGCTCCCGTTGTTCGGTCCCAGCGCCTGCCAACCTAGCAGTTCGAAAGCACTCCCGGGTGCAAGTAGATAAATAGGGACCGCTTACTAGCAGGAAGGTAAACGGCGTTTCCGTGTGCGGCTCTGGCTCGCCAGAGCAGCGATGTCACGCTGGCCACGTGACCCGGAAGTGTCTTCGGACAGCGCTGGCCCCCGGCCTCTTGAGTGAGATGGGCGCACAACCCTAGAGTCTGTCAAGACTGGCCCGTACGGGCAGGGGTACCTTTACCTTTAAGATATTTCCACAGGAGACACAAGTGTAACAGTCTCCTGGTTTATTTATTTCTTTTAAAACCATGAAAGGTAGCTGCGAAAGGCTGCAATCAAGGAAAAAAAGGAATTGGGGTGGTGGCTGCTCAGCTCTTTCTTCCAGATTTTTTCCCCACTCAACTCCTCCCCCACATGCAAATCTGCCAGAGAATATATAAAACTTGAGACTATTATATACCTCCCCATGTAACATCTAGTTTGGCCCTCATTCACAATCAACAAGTAATTTCTTACTGCTATGACTTAGGGTGGGGCAGGAAATATATGTGTTTTATATAGTACTACTCCATTAAAATCCATAGCCCCCGTTAAAGGAGAAGAGAAAACTAGGCGATGTTTTATTATGCATCCTACACTGCAGATCCTACATTGAGCAGACAATTGGATGAAGGTCCTTTCCAACCTCATGATTCTGTGCCTGATGGGTTGTTTAATTTCTATACCACTTAAGGTATTAAAAAATATCTCTAAGCAATGTACAGAAAACTAAAGCAACAACAGACAACTTAAAATTTTACAAAATTACAGTTACATATAAAAAATATTACATTAATAAGAAGTTGCCAATATATATATATAAATAAATATGAGCAAGAAAGTATATAAAAAAAACATTTTTCAGGGTAGTGGGCCTGAAATATTTCACTCCCTAAAGAACTGGAAAAGACTCTACCACCCATAAGGTAACATTACACACATCAATAAACCACTGAAGGAGGTTCCTTCTTCATCTGATTTATATTCTCAGTACTTACCCGAGGTAGAAAGAGCTTTTCAGCAAGAACTGCTGCATTACTATAGCCAAGATCAGGTGAGAGTGCGACTAACCAAGTGCAGAAATGCAGAAGTTTGTTTTCTGGGCACTCCGAGAGCTGCAGTAATGAGCATAGAACTTCCAACTAAAGGAAAAGAGGACATGAAATATTACCCAATAGTCTGTTTCCCAAATATCACTAGTACCTGGGCTGGTTGGTTTCAGCAAGGTTTGGGAATATAGTTACTTGGGAAGGAGTCTCACTAAGTGAGTTAGTTAATTAAATCTCTTAAACGCTGTTTAATAATAAGAGTAATAATAATAGTAATAATGTGTCTTACAATGGATACGGGGGGGGGGATTAAAAATCACATTACAACTTGCATAAAATAGTAAAACCACCCCATCCTCACAAACAAACTAGTGGCTAGAATGTTGCAGGGGACAAATGATTGCCAGCACATAACTCTGGTGCTCAAAGGCTTGCTTGAACCAGCTGCCCACATATTTGTATTAGCATATTTACTTGAATCTAATGCTCACTTTTTTTGGCCAAATTACGTTGCAAAAATTAAGGTGCACATTAGATTCGATGGCACATTTACATTTAATACTTTTTTGTGTTTCAAGATTCTGAAAATTGAGGTGTGCATTACATTCAATGGCGCATTAGACTTGAATAAATATGGTAATTTACAAGACCCTTAACAACTTGGGTTCGGGATACCTCAAAGACTGCCTTAATCTCTTGAATCCTTGCCTGATCACTGAGGTCTTCAGGGGAGTCACCGTTAGTGGTATCCCACTGCTTGGATGCACAGCTCATATCCAAAAGGAGTCATGCAATCAGTATAGTGGGCCCAATTCTGCAAAACTACTTTCCTGTTGAGGTCAGACAGACTCCCTCCCTGTTGAACTTCCAGTGCCTACTGGAATCTTTTTCTTTTTAATTTCAGCAGGCATTTTAACTGAAGTCTAATTTTATAGCTTAACCATTAAAAAAAAAAACCTTTTCTGTATTGTATTGTATTTCTTGGACAGCACTTAGAGGTAATTGTAACCAATTAGAGAGGATTGTAGTTAAGCAGTATATAAATGGTTTAAATAAGTAAATAAGACAGACATCGTGAATATTCAATTGGCATAAGGACATTTTTTTTAAAAAAAAATTAATAGATGCATTAAATGGGACTTAATTTCAAGTAAACCTGCTTAAGACCAGGCTGTAAATTACTTACATTCATTTTGCCCTACTAACCTGGCTTGGAGTACATTCATTAAAAACTTGTAGCTCAGGCGGCGCAATCCCACCAGAAAGCTAAAAGTCAAATGGGGGGGAAAGACAGATAACGTAACAAGGCAGGGTATGAATCTGCTTCTCCTTTAAATTGAACTACTCCAACTGAACAGAACTTTATTCAAGGGGTATATAAGGAAGTCTGGCAGGGCATCTGCCCCAAGCAGAAATGTGGTAACAAATACTTACATCAAACTGCATCTCTAGAAGTTCTTTTAGTTTTGGTACATGGTCCTAAAATACAAGAGAAAAATGGTTAAATCGTTTATGTGCTTCAGAAAGTTGCACACTCTGAACAACAACAAGCAACACATCGGCTAATAATATACTGACAATATTTTTATAACACTATACTGTTTCAAAATTTATAAACAAAAGGCATGTGTGTATGGAGTCACAAAGTAATAAGAATCAAATGTTCCATGAACAGGAATGGTAGGAGTGGTAAGTCACTGTCAAAGATCTCTAAAATGGAGGCAGAATGCCTTTCCACAGTCAATATCCTACAAATGTGAGATGATAGGTGCTCCAAACGTAGTAACCGGGTGCTCCGAGTACAGCAGCAAACAGAACAGTTCTGCCAGGATAATGAACTGTTTCAATGATAATTCTTCATCAGCTGGCAATAATATAAAATGAAATCTATTACATTCAATTACAATACAGAGATTGAAATGACAGGCCTGCATGTAAACAACCAATAATAAATGCATACCAAATTAATTGTCCCCAATTGATTAACTTACTTACAAAGTGGTGAAAGTTCCTAGATTATTGGAATAGGAACTCAAGAATGACACATTAGAGCCATGTAGTCTGAGCTGGAGCAACCAGCTCAAATCTCTTCACATGGGGAGCTTCTCAGGTAGACTGAAGAACAAAGTACTGATTATCTAATTCCTCCCAAGGTGAGCTAAGCCTGGCAGAACAGCTTACTCTATGGTCTTAACCCCTTCGTGCATTAATTAGATTTAAGCATGTTGTTTATAGGAAGCTGGTTATCCCACAAAATCTTCCTGCAATTGCAAAACTTGTTCCAACTGTCCAAGGGATCATTCTGTTGTCAAAGGGGCCAATATTTCCTAACAGGCATTAGCGGAGGATAAATGATATTTGTGAAGCATCCCTAGTAAGAAGGGCTTATGTTCCATGTTCGCACTGCTAGTTTGCCAAAGAAGGAAGAGAATCTAATAGTTTTCCATACCTTGATATAATCAGGGACCTCGGCTACAGTGTCCTGTTGGGGACTCCAATTGGCAACTTTTGCTTCTTCTGCTTCCTCCTCTGGGCAGCTTTGATATACATCATTGCTTGTGCTATGAACACCTTCATTCTCGGACACCTCCATCATCAGTTCATTCCCTGTGTTAACTCCAACTCCCTGCATTAGACCATGTGGTTCACAAAGTTCTGTATTCAATTCAACTTCCAGTCTGGACCTCTTCTCCAGCACCTTTTCTTCAGGATCCAGTGGTTCCTCAGCTACTTCCTTATTTTCCCTTATCTGAGGCATGGAACCAGGAGCATCTCCAGTCCATGCTATGTAGGGACTTGCCTGTTTAGCGCACCAGCTTAATTTCTTTTCTAATCCAGGTTTCCCACAACTAACTTTCTGGCAAATATATTTCAGCTGCTGCCGACATGAATCAGATAGTAGGACTGGCATCACAGAGCTATTCTCTTGCACCCTCACTTGTAGTAAATCCCTCAGTCTCTGCACCCATAGGTCAGGGCTGGGATCCTGCCTAGAAGCTTGAAGTAGGTGTTGGAGGCATGCTTCTGGCACTGTAGACTGTACTGTAAGCAACAGGGAAAAGAGGTTTCTTTGGCACAACACTGGAAGCAGCAACAGCAACGGTTTTCTGAAATAACCATTTGGAAGAAGAAAAGCAAGATCGTCACCAGGGAAATATGATAACTCTATAGTAACATAGGAAGTACAACTCAAATGCAGCACACCTCATTATACTAGGTTGAATGTTGTTATTACTGTTGCTTTATTGCTAATGGTTTCCACCAGTCTTAACAGTGTTTATTATTTTGTTGTTATAAAATGTTGGGATTTTATATCAATATGATGGAAACTGGATTATGAGCATCTGGTCCTAAAACAAAGTGGGGGAATTGTAGCCCTCTAGTTGTTGCTGGAATCGGGCTCCTATCAGCCCTAACCTGAATGGTGAGAATTTGATCAGCAGCACCTTAAGGGCCACAGGTTCCCCACCCCTGCCCTAAAATACATTCTCTGTGTTGAGTAGTCCTTTCCCCTCAATATATAGTCACTTTCTAGCATGTTCTGGATGTGTGCTTTTCTGTCACATATGGGCGAAAGGGAGGAACAAGACCTAGCCATTATATGACATCATAAAATATGGTATTATATGAACATATGAAGTTGCCTTATATGAAGCTAAACCATTTACCCCAGTGTTGTTCATTCTGACTGTCAGCAGTTCTCAGGCAGAGGGCTTTCTGAGTTCAGCTAACAGAGATTTTTTTTTTACTGAAGATGCTTCAGAATTAATATTCTCTATGGAAATCCTGTGCTGTACTCCTGAGCTATGGTTCTTTCTCCTTTGTAGATACAACCTTGGTTAACATGGCACATAATTTTAACAAGTGTGTTCATGTTGTCACTTCTAGATATCCAGCAGCATTAGGATCCAAAATTTGAATATGAGACCAGAATACTGAGGGGCTATGAATGCAAGAAAAGAAAATGACGTTCCAACACTGCATATTATAGGCATTATTATCTGCAAATTATACTTATTCACCAAAACCAATCCAGAATCCAGTATGCATAAAATGATTTTTAAAGCCACACAAACTTTCACCCATGCCCAGAGGATCAGTTCTACCATCTTTCATAACCCAGATTTTCTGCTAAAATCAGCAGGGAGAGAATACACATCTCAACACAACCTTTTCTGGTTCTGAGCATTTCCCACAACCTACTAGATCATCACTGAAGCAAGTGTCAGATGCTGCATGATTGGGGTTCTTAGGACCTGAAATAATTCTGGTTTATGTGGGTATTTCCCATACTTTTTAAAATGAGAGATTTGAGCAACTCACAAGGCAAGGGTCTCCTCAGAGCCTGTGAGGACAGGCTCTTGAGAACACAGAATCTCTGTGAAGGTCCACCAGCTGAAGTCCTGGCTTGCTCCTTGCCCAGACAGGGAGCGCTGAAGAGTGCGGAAAGCAGCCAGGGCCCCCCAATGCCCAGACATCAGTGTGCAGAGGAGGAGACGAGAAGCTTTATCAAATCGTTGCAACCAAGGAACGGGCGGACCATCCATGTTGACAGCACTGTTGATCAAGCTCTAATGAATATAAAAAGCACACAAAACAAATCAACAACAGAACTGGGATGAACCCAAGAGTCACCTGGTCTAGTCCAAGCTTTCCAGACAAGTATTTCTTTCACAATCAATAGCTCGTCCTTAAATCGTCGTCCTGTGTTTAGAATATATTAAGTGCTTTGTAAGTAATAATAATACACATCACAAGTGGTGGGAGGAAACAAGATGCACTACAACAGTGGGACTCATAGAACTCCAGGTTTTGACATGTTCCGTATTTCACCTATAAAGTACTTAACCTTTTCTAAGCGCTTTACATACAAGATAAACTAGTACAGTATCTGTCTGCAGGCTCACAATCTACTAGAAAAATACAAAAGAGAAAAGGAATGAGGAAGAAGAAGAAAGCAAGCACTGCCATCTTCTGCAGAAGCCCTCCTAGTTATGCTTACTAAGTGATGTAGAACTGTACTCTGCATGTGCTCAAAAACATTTATATACACACACAAACACACATTCAAGACTGAGCACAATCAATCCTTAGCTACAAGGTATTTCCCACCAAGTATTTGTCTTTGTCAAACATTAAATGAAAAGTTGTGATTCCTCAAGACAAACCCACTCTAGAAATTTGGGGGTTTGACAGTTTCCTCATCTTTCCAAGAGCCATGGGACTTACTCATAAAGACTGCAAAGCTATTAATGAGCAAACCAACAAAAAAATAATTTCCTCTCAGCATACTCCCTGAACAGTGAAGTTACCTACAATAAGTAATTCTTTCTGTAAGACGATTCTGTTCTTGCTGGAGCCTGATCATAAAATCATGGAAGGGCCTCTAGAGCAGCCTTTCTCAACCTGTGGGTCCCCAGAGAACCGCTACTCTAAAGTCATCTAGTCCAACCCTCTGCTATGCAGGAATCTCAACTAAAGCATAGGTGCTCTTGGGTCGCATAATGGGGGGAAACAGTAATGCAGTAACCGACACCATCTTTTAAACTGCATTTTTTTGCTTTGCTGCCCGAGTGAGAGAAGCCCCATAGCAGAGGCGCCGCTTTCCTGGTCAAAGATTCCGTTCCACTGGCGTCCAACGGAAAGGTAAGTCCAATCGCAGCAGGGATGGAGGCTGCAATCCTATTGAGTAAGCATGTGCACACTTACCTGGGGAGGAGACTCACTGCACTCAGCGGGGCTTACTTCAGAGGAGACACGCACAGTAGGATCGCGCTGTAAGGCTGCAATCTGGCGCACATTGGGGAGTGAACCTCACCGAATTCAATAGAATTGAATCATAAGAAAAGTGAGAAAAGGATCAAACTACGCGGCAGCTACCTCTACCGGTGTGGCCCGGGCGAAGTCCTGCTTGGAGGCGCGTCCCTCTTGCATCCCAGTCGACCCGCTTCTTTGGAAAGCGCGCAGGCCGAAGTCCCCGCGCCCTTCTGCTCCGCCTTCCTCGTCTTCCCTCCCGCGCTCTATTTGTGCTCAGATACAATGTCCAATCCGGCGGGAGGGAGGCGGAGCTAGCAGGCGTCTCAAGGCCCCAAGAGATAGGAAAAGTGAAAGAGTAATCCTCTCTGCTGCCTATAGAAAAAGTGAAAGAGTACTTCACTCCGCTGCAGAGACTCGGCTTCTTTGCTCTCCACCGGGGCGGAGCAGAGAGCTAACCATTGAAAACAGCGGGAAAAACCTTCCTCTCCCCACAATAAAAGAGAGTTCCTGCTCTAACTGGTCTTATTTCACGATAGAAAAAAATAATAAATGCCAGTGCAGTTACCTATCCACGCATAATGGAACCACAAGCAAAAATAAAATAAAAAATCAACCCACCACTTTTATTCTGCCAGGGGTTTTGCCTGATGTTCTAAAGGTTGTGTTTTGCCTGAGGACTACCTTTGTTTGCTGTTTTCAATGTTGCATTTGTGAATCAATTCCACTTGTCGTGATTTAAAACTGCGGGGAGCGCCCTGGCGGTGTGTAGCTGCAGCTCAGCGGGGACTGAAGGCTTCTGGTTGCAGCAGAGCTGGAGTTGGGCGCAAGGGAGACACACAAGCCGCATCCTGGCTTATGTTGTGCATGGAGAACTTTTGGCTAGAGTCAAACTAATGCCAGCCTCGCCTTTTAACTAACAGTATGAATGGTGGACTACACTGCAGGGCTTGTCTAAGCAGGAGGGCCACCCTGCTCAGAGTCACGACTCTCCAGAATTCTCAGCATTGCCTCATGCGAACCCCCAAACCCTGCACTGCACCCTACTTGGCACATGCCCATTGAAACTTGGGATTTGGATCCTCCCAACTGCAGAGCTCCCCAGCTTGCCCATGAGATTTTTCAGTAAGTCGCTGGAGACTTTATTGCTGCCAGGCATAAGGTGAACATGTAGCAACACAGACAAGGGCCTTCAGTAGTTCAGCTGCTAGCAGTAATTACTCAGCTTGTAACCTTGTTCATTTAGGCATCATTTGCAGAAGTATTTGCTGTTGTGGCATTTAATACCCACTGCAATGATTGTTTGCTGTTTGAATTATATACATTCTATCTCTAAGAGTACATTTGCCTTTTTGTTTTCATTTTGGGAAGAGCCTGTAATGTAACAATACACCTCCCTTTCTGTGTACAAATCAGAAACTACCGCCAGCAGAAAGTGGTTGTAACTGCAATCATTTATCCATGTCTTTTCAGCAAAAAACCTTGCCTTCTAAACAAATATACAGTGGTACCTCGGGTTACATACGCTTCAGGTTACAGACTCCGCTAACCCAGAAATATTACCTCAGGTTAAGAACTTTGCTTCAGGATAAGAAGAGAAATCATGCAGCAGCGGCACAGTGGCAGCAGGAGGCCCCATTAGCTAAAGTGGTGCTTCAGGTTAAGAACAGTTTCAGGTTAAGAACAGACCTCCAGAACGAATTAACTACGTAACCAGAGGTACCACTGTATATGAGAGTTAGGTGAAGTGTTGGTGTCCTTTCAATAAAAGTTTCTTATTATGCTGTCTTTTTCTCCTATACATGCACAGTAGTAGTTTCAAGGAGTGTCCCTTTATGTGTCTAAAGGGAAACAAACCGTGCTATCCTATGCATCTTTCTGCAGCAAAGTCCCACTGATTTTATTGTGAGCAGGCGTACAATTGTGCACATCCTTAATTAAAATAGAAGATCATGTTTGATGCAAGATTTTAATTCTCCCTTTCAACATATGAATGCCAGTCCCTAGTTTGTCTTCATGAGATTAGTTACCATGTGAAAACCTAAGTTTAAGAGCCAGTGTGGTGTAGTGGTTAAGAGTGGTACTCTCGTAATCTGGGGAACCGGGTTCGCGTCTCCGCTCCTCCACATGCAGCTGCTGGGTGACCTTGGGCCAGTCACACTTCTTTGAAGTCTCTCAGCCCCACTCACCTCACAGAGTGTTTGCAGTGGGGGAGGAAGGGAAAGGAGAATGTTAGCCGCTTTGAGACTCCATAAAGGGAGTGAAATCCAATCCAAACTCCTCTTCTTCTTCTTCTTCTTCTAAGTAAGTCATACACTTTCCTGTTTTATGTATGTTTATTCATATGTAATCCTGTTTCACTATTTTGTTTTGTTTTGGAGAAGCAACACACACCAAGAGAATGCTTTAAAAAAACTGAAAAACAAATATTTAAAATTAAATGTATTACAGTGAAAATAACCTACCTTGCTTATATATACGGGACTCCTGTGGCGCAGTGGGTCAGTGCATCTGGCTATTAACCAGAAGGTTGGTGGTTCAAAGCCCATCCAGGGTTGGCTGTGGGCAGGATTCCTGCATTGAAGGGGGTTGGACAAGCTGACCCTTGCAGTCCCTTTCCAACTCTAAATCTTGGAAATCCTGCAGTGACACATCCTTGGGATTCATGGTCTCAAGACAAGCAACTGCTTTCACCACTTGCTTAAGTTTAGAAACTAAATTCTTCCACATACAGCCTAGCCCATTCCTCTGCATAGCTGGGGGACAGATGAAATGGGATTGCTTTCCAACAGGGAAAATTTCAATCAGAGCAAATTCAGTACATCCACAAGGCAGGACTTGGTAGCTGCCATACTCAAGTAGCCTGACACAATTTAATTATGTGTGATTTACAGCTTGTCTATCCAAACAAGTGTTGTAAGCCTTGGTGATGTACTCACTGGAACAGGTTTTGCATGAACCAAGACAAAACCTGATAGAGTTATTTGGGTCAGGTTATGTCATGGGTTTGAGTGCTGTAATTTAGTACTGGAATGATCTCACGAGTATTACTGGAAAGAATCAAGGACATGTTTTGCCTACACAGTGGAGGACAGAAAATGGTTCTTCAGCATTTAAACATTCTGAGTGTCAATGTAAGCATCTTAGAAGAACCCAGACACTGGTGCAAGCTGAAGCCTTTATAGGTTTCAAATAGTCACTTATTTATGGAGGGTGGTCACAAAAGAAGAAACACAGGGAGAACAGGCTGTAATCAGCCAAAAGCATAGGTGGCCTTCAGGGGAAAAACGTCTTACATTAGCTGGAAGTACCAAGTCTCTGGACTCAGATTTCAGGGTGGGGGCAGCCTCTACTGACTACATCAGATTGGAGAATGCACGGGCAAGTTTGCATGCTTAGGAATGTTGTTTGAATGGCACTCAAATTGCACTCCTTGGTACTTTCTCCACAGGCCAAGAGACCCCTATGCCTAGCAGTGTTAAATGTTTCCATCCTGACAGTCATGTAGCTAGAGATGTGCAATATTTTTTCGGGGGACGGGACGGACCAGGATACTATAGAAGACAGAAAAAAACTGAATGTATTTGTGTTCATACACTACAACACGTTTTAACAAGTTAACAGAGGGGTAGAAAAAGAGACTTTGCATGGCTACATTTTTAAAGCTCATTTTATTTGATACTCTCTCCCGATCCTTCTAGGATTAAAAATACATTCAGGGGGCTTACTGATCCCAGATCCTAAGGGTTTAAATCACCGAGTTCTAAGCCTCCAATACTAAGTTGATCACTGCATAAATAAAAATTCAAGATTTAGTTCACTCTACCCTATGTTACACCCCTCCTCCGTAAGCCTACGATAAGATACCCGATAGCACTGCTAGACAAAAAGCAAGATGCAGGTGCTGCCTGCTGCAGATAATAGCACTGCTCAGCAAGCCTGCCTTCCTGAGGAAACAACTAGCAGCACCATGAACACACCTGAAAACTCAGTGTCTCCAGTATACACAGACTTCCTGAGCACTAGCAGAACCTGGCACCCTCCTAGAAGAGATACAGCTGGGAGGGTCTTCATGGATCCCAATGCTGGGAAGCCCAGGATGTGATAAAATGTTGAGGGCGGGGAAAAGGAACGTGAAGATATAGCCAAGCAAGGGATAGGAGAATGGCAGTGCACTTGGGTGACGTGTTAAGATACCGTATGCCAACAGTGGTGACAGCCATTATCTTGCCCTGTGGAATCAGGAGGCCTTCCCAACATAAAACAGGTCCTTGCACTATGTTCTCCCAGCTTACGGATTCCAGGCAAAATGCAATGAAGACCCGCCAGACAACTAAGAGCCCCCCCCAGACAACCATTCAACTGATCAAGATCCCTTCTTTCCCCACCCATTCTCCCCAAGCCACAGCTTCACATGTCAGTAAGATTGTTCCCGCAGCCTCCAATGATGTCGTCATCACCGTCATCATCTAGTCGGAAGAATCACTCGAATCCCAAATGAGAAAGTCTGAATAGTCAAAGTCCCTCTCCCTCTGCAACAGTGCAACAGTCAGAGCCCACTGGATCAAGTACATATCGTCATCATCTTCATCCGAGCTGTCAGATGGAGATGGGTTAAAGGCCTGCAATATAGGACACAAGAAAGAAGGCTTTTGGATGAAATCACACCACTGATCTGTCACGGAACAGGGAATGCATAGACACATTTCACTAGAAAAGCTAAAGGAATCATGCCTCTATATACTAAATTTGTACTTATCCGCCATCATGCTGGCAATTGAATGCACATGCACACACACAACATTGCAAGGCAACGCCTGAAGAGCCCTGAATGTGGGGGAAGCAGCCAGCCAGGCGTTCCCATGCTACCACCACTGGCAGCAGAGAGGAGAATGAAGGGGAGAAAGTCTATCTCCTTCATGAATGCCACCACCAACCTGCAGCAATGGCGGCACTCTGGGGAACAGGCATGAAGGAAGGAGAGGGAAGGAAGGAAGGGCAGCAGCTGCAACAAACCTGGTCTGAGTCAAGGCTGCAGATACGCTGTGAGCCCCCATAATCTGTGCTGTTGCTAAAACAGGCCTGGTGGAAGTGGGCACAGCAGGATTAAGGGGGGGCTCTTGAAGGGCCTGGGGGGAGGCAAAGAGCTGTTGGTTTGTAGGAGATGTACGCGTCGACGGGCGGGAGAGACATATGTGTGGCATCTGAGAGAGCTGGTGGAAGTGGGAGGAGAAAGGATTACATGGGGCTTATTGAAGGGATGGTGGGAGCTGTAGTTCCAAAACAACTGGAGACCCACATTTGGGAAACCCTAGTCAAGAGGGATACCATGGAATAGGGGAAGGAAGTTGGGGGTTGGGAAGCAATGTGAGCAGGGGCAGTAGCCCCAAGTATGCCAGTTGAGAACCACCGACCTAGCCTGCTGCTGTCATCTTCAACCCCCAGAAAACAAAGCTTGATGAACAGAAATGCCTAGGGCTGGACCAGCGACTACCGAGGCAGTTGCCTCTCAAGGCAGAGTGTGTGCATTTCCATGTTGCATCCCATAGGGATCCTAAGTATGGAGGGCTTTGGGAAGCAGAATATCTTAGAAAGGACACCCTACCTCTCAATGACTAGCTTATAATGGCTTGCCGTATCATGACTGCATCAAGGAATTTGTTACTTACAACGGTCCGCCGTCTCCGCCGTTCAGGCCTCTGTTGCGGCTTTGCAGCCGGGAGCCGACCTCCAGGCAGCTCATGCAGGTAGATGCACTCTGATTTAAAGGGGCAGTGACCATTGCTTCTGACAAAGAACTTGCACCTTATTTTGCTAGGGGAATAAAAATCATGAAATTAGGCCACAAGAGGCGCGAGTCTTTTCAGAAATCTGAATAAATATTGTAGATCAGACTTACTTAGCTTGGTTCCTCCACCCCCTCCACCCCTAGTCAGCACAGCTTTGGAGGCTGTAGTCCAAAGCAACTGAAGGGCACCCAGCTGGGGAATGCTCCTGCACATCAACATCAACCCAGAACCGAGGCTAGCTTTGGAGCTGAGAGCTGGGTGTGCAGGCAGAATCATGGGCATTACAGCAAGGCATACTTAACCAAGAAGGGAACACCAAAGTGTATGCACATGGATTAAGTTATTCCACCCTTAATCAAGACAGTCTAATTCCTATTTGGCTCTTAAGCAAATGACCACAATGAGAACATCAGTTTCATCCCATGAAGCCAGTCGGCAGCCTGGCATTCTCGGAGTTATTGACAATGGTTTCAAGATCGGAGACCTAGATGCTTCAACAGCATTAGACATATTTAGTGACCTTTTTTGCTGAAGTGACCTAGCTGCTTACCTGGTTCGTGCCTTGAAATTCTCAATCAGTTTTTCTTTCTCTTCTGAATCAGAAACCCAGTATTGGTTGGGGATGAAATAAGTTGAAGTGACTCTGCACTCTGGGCAGCCCCTGAGGAATGCACATAGAGAGGATATAATATACCCAGACAAACCCTAGAAGGGCAATCACTCTGCTTCTGGCCCAAAGCAATCTGCGTATCATAGAATCAAAGAATTGTAGAGTTGGAAGGGACCATGAGGTTCATCTTATATAATAATAATAATTTATTATTTATACCCCACCCATCTGGCTGAGTTTCCGCAGCCACTCTGGGCGGCTCCCAATCAAATGTTAAAAACAGTACAGCATTAAATATTAAAAACTTCCCTGATATCTTTTCAAGATAGGATAGCTGCTTATTTCTTTGACATCTGATGGGAGGGCGTTCCACAGGGCAGGCGCCACTACCAAGAAGGCCCTCTGTCTGGTTCCCTGTAACCTCACTTCTCGCAATGAGGGAACCGCCAGAAGACCCTCGGCGCTGGACCTCAGTGTCTGGGCTGAACGATGGGGGTGGAGACACTCCTTCAGGTATACTGGGCCGAGGCCGTTTAGGGCTTTAAAGGTCAGCATCAACACTTTGAATTGTGCTCGGAAACGTACTGGGAGCCAATGCAGATCTCTCAGGACCAGTGTTATGTGGTCCCAGTTATCTTGTCCAACCCCCTGCAATGCAAGAATATGCAGAAGTCCTGTACAGAGATCAAACCTGCAACCTTTGCATCATTAGAACCAAGCTCTAACCCAACTGCACTAACATCAGAACGCTTAGCAACATGGAAGCCTAACAGCAACTTCCTGGGGGTGCGGTCCAGAACAGCAGAGCCAGAAACCTCCTTGATAAAAAGTGCCTTCACAAAGGGGGTTAAAGCTACAAGTCCCAGCAAGCACGGCCAACGGACAGCGATGATGATGGTTGTTGTTTGTCAGCATCTGATGGGTCAAAGCAGGGTTTCCCAAACTTGGGCCTCTTGTTGCTTTTGCAGAACAACTCCCATAATCCCTGACCACTGGTCCTGCTAGCTAGGAATTATGGGAGTTGTAGTCCAAAAACAGCTGGGGCCCCAATTGTGGGAGATCCCCGGCCAAAGGTTGCCAATACCCAGTCTACACACTTCAGACAGCAACCTGCCAGAAGACACAAGCACAAGGCAAGCAATTGGGCCATGAAGAACTTACTTAATCACCGCATTGTGAAAGTCCCGGCTTTTTCTCCACTTTCGGATGCAGGTCACGCAGTAGGCATGGGAGCAGTTAGGAAGAATGCCAAACAAACGCTCCTGAGGCAAGGTCTTCTGAGAGATTTTGTCCATGCAGATTCCACACACCACATCCTCACTTTTCTGCACCTCTGCAGAAGCAGCAGCTTCTGCCGCTTCTGAACCTCCAACTGCCTGGGAAAGGAACACAACAGTTGGAGAATACAGTGGTACCTCAAGTTACAAACACTTCAGGTTACAAACTCCGCTAACCTGGAAGAGTTACCTCGAGTTGAGAACTTTGCCCCAGAATGAGAACAGAAATTGTGTGCCGGCGGCGCAGCGGCAGCAAGACGCCCCATTGGCGAAAGCACGCCTCTAGCTAAGAACAGTTTCAGGTTAAGAACGCACCTCGGAACGAATTAAGTTCGTAACTAGAGGTACCACTGTACTTTCTAAAACAGGTCCTGGAAGCCTTCTCCATGCCACTCCAGCTTCTCCGAAGTTCATCCACCTAAAATCTGCATTGGTTCCACACAGCTGGGTGCAACACCACCACACATGCCTAAACTTGATTTCCTATTAATCAATCTCATTTCAAAAGCTTGAAGTTATAAATTCCTGTCGTTGCGCAACCTGTTTCTTGGAAGCTCATACCAAAAGAGGTTCATGGGTGATGATATGACAGCCTTCACTAATCTGCTGGGGCTGATAAGAGTTGTAATCCAGAGCATCAGGAGGTCACCTGGTTGGCAGATGCTAAAAATCCGGGTGTGTTTCAAGCACCCCTCCCCTCTCCTTGTCTCACCTCACATCTCCCAATACTTCTTTCCTGCTCCAACTGCATTCCAAAATCCCTCAGTCAGAGAGCTCAGGAGAATCCCACTGGTTTTTATTGAAATGGCAGTGTCTGTTCTCATCACTCTACATTTGCAGGCATCCCACCTACCTTTGGCTCTTCCGAGACCACAGACACGGGAGCAGCCTCCTTGGCTGATGCTTCTTCTGGCATCAGGGAAGTGGTGTCAAGTCTCTCTTCATGGGATGTGGAACCTGAGCAGCAGAGAAACAGCTAACTAGGACGCTGCTGCCACCAGTCCAACTATTATTCTATCAAGTGTCTAAAAATACAAGGGCCCGCACAAACATTAGAATAACAAGCTTACAATCTCCCCCATCACTTCTCTAAAAAGAGATAAAGATGCAACATGTAAGGAAGAAAAGGAGAATCAGTTGGGGAAAGCTGGAATCAATAACCTTTAAAAGATGCCATTGGAAGAGTCCCTTCCTGTCTCCATCCATGCAGAGTTACCAACTGATGATGACCTGGCTCCCTTTCCCCACCTCACAAACAACAGGCCTTTCATTATAGCTGTACGGGAACTGGAGAATGAGCCAACGTGTCATGTTGGGTCCCTTCCTTTTTTTTTTTTTTTAAATATTTTTTATTAACAGGCCAATCACATCACATTATCCAAATCACATTAGTTTCAAATTATACAGCCAAATTTTAAATTTTGTTAGGGGTACCCATACATCAAGCTCCGCACGAGTCCAAAACTCCGAACGAGTCCAAACATCACTTATATTACTGCTTTAATTAGACAGTTCTATCCAGTTCAATCCAGATAGTCCTTTCTTTCTTTCTCTTCTTGTTGTTATCGTATATTCCTTTCTTTGCGATCTCTGATAATTTTCACAAGCAGATTGAAAACAGGCATCCTTTGTGTGGGTTTTGTACTGTCCAAAGATCATATCACTCAGGGACAGCCTCTGTTCAGCGCTTCCATAAAAAAAATTAATCTTCGGTCTGTCCTTTACTTTTCTCAGGCTTGCCAAATAAACCAAATGAGTCAGGAGGCTCTGTCAGGTCAAGTTTGCATTCCAACATTCCTTCTCTTTCGAATAATCCTGATTCTCCTCCCCCTGTCCTTCTTTCTCCGGCAAGCCTGTCTTGGCGAGACGCCATTTTTTAACTGCGTCATGAAAAATTTCCTCTTTCTCACCGTTCACCAATCCTCTCTCCTGTTATAATCCATCCCACACAGCTCTTGAATTCCTGCTTGTGATTAATAAAAACGCAACGATCTTATTTCTATCTGGGGTGAAGGGTTATTAATATCACATCGTGCAAAGAAAAAAAAAGGTTTTTCCTCCACCCCCCCTTCAATCCAAACATACAGTCTCCTAGTGGTGATTCATCAGAAGATTTACTTATCCATCCGTCACTCCCGGTCACAGAAATCCATTAATCAGCAGTCTTATCTCTCGAACATTACTTGATATATGTGCTTCAGCTTCATTCCAATCGTATGTTTCCAATTATAATTCCGAGCTGAAGCTAACCAGCACGCGCTAATTGGAATCGGCGTCAGGAAGATCTGACTTCACCGAGGGCTCGTGCCAAGTGTTCGGCACCCCCATCTCTCGGGTCAGGGGGTGCATTGTGAACACTGCTGGCAAGGCAGCGCCCCCCCGTCTCCTGGGGAGGTAGGAAGACTGCATACTTCCCATAGCAGCACCTTAATTACCTCGTATGAGTCAGAGAGATGTTATTGTCGGCCATCTTCCAACGCGCCACCTGGTGGCGCCCGTCATGTTGGGTCCCTTCCATGGCTGGGACTGGACAAAGTCATTCAAAATGGCGCCCTATCCAAACAGAAGCTTCTCAAGAAAAGCATGTTCCATGTAACTAGGATATTGGTTTAAGGACCCCAGATGCACTTCTCAAGACTGTGGGGCATGTGTGCGGAAATTCCTTCACGACTCCATTAGACCATTGCCAAATCAAAATCCCATTGTGTGTGTCTTAATAACAAAGTCATCTTGACAGAGAATTATGAGTTAGCAGTCAGATGACAAAGATTGTGAGAAGCAGGGTGGAGATAGGGAAGCAAGGGAATAGAACTGTTTTGCTCATGTGCCCCACTACAATGTCCATCCCCAGAAGCTACAACAAAGGCTGCAACAAGAGCCCAAGCCCACAAAAACCAGCCTCTCCAGGAGCTTACCTGAAGCAGCCTGCCTGGGAACAAATTCTTTACTGAGGGCCCAGTTTGGAGGGTGCCAGGAAGGGATGGCTTTATCACCATCTTCATCCTCCTCCTCAAATGACATCCTCATGCTCCCAAAGTTCATCTGTAGCTGTGCCATGCCCGAGACAGCTGGTTCTGAGCCACGCCGGGCCGCTCCCCAACTCCTCACTGAAGCTTCTGGCAAGATGGCTGGCTCCGAGCCTCGGCGGTTCACAGTCAATCCACGCAGTCCATGGTAGGCAGCCTCTGAGCCACACCTGCTCAAGGGCGGTGCTTCCAGGACGTGCTGGTAGCTGAGAGATTGAATGCCAATAGTGTGTCATTCACAGCACAGGAGCAACTCATTCACAGCACAGGAACAAAGTGTATCCTCTTGCCCAGAAAAACAAAAATTACCTCATTGCTCAAACAGGGAATAGCTGCCTTTGAGATAAGACACACATCTCCCCCCGACACACACACATTCAAGGGAGCAGCTGGCCTTCCACAAGCAGTAAGACAGGATGACTAGAACTCTATGCACAATTTGGTATATAGCTGAACTCCATTTCCCCAGCATGGAGCAGACACTGGGAGGGATACCATGCTGGGATAATAAAGACTATATATAAGGGAGAAGCCACCATTTAAGCAGGTGCTTCACTGCCCAGTTAGTAGGGGGGATGGGAAGAGGGCTCTCCTCTGACCCCGCCAATTCATTTTTATTACATAACCTCTTATATCTCTTCTCTCAAAATAGTTGCAGGGTTTTGTTTCCAATACTGAACAAACTTATCCCCACTGTTCCAATCAGGCTTTTCTCATAACCACCAAGACACAAGTATGAGAACTTAAAATTTCAATACAGTGGTACCTTGGGTTACAGAGGCTTCGGGTTACGCGTTTTCAGGTTACAGATGCACCAAAACCCGGAAGTACCGGAATGGGTTACTTCCAGGTTTCAGCGCTCGCGCAGAAGCACTAAATCACACTTTGCACATAAGCGCCGAATTGCGTCACGTGCGTGCGCAGACGTGGCGCTGCAGGTAGCGAACATGCCTCCTGCACAGATCACATTCGCAACCCGAGGTTCCACTGCATTCTCTACCAAACATTATTTTCCAATTCTCCTCTTGATGGCAATTCTTTCCCCTCCCCTGGGCTGAGACAAACATATTTGCAGTTTATTTTGTTATGTTGGAACCACAGCACTGAAGAATTCAAAAGAACATGAAGGGGGGGGGGAATTTATGAATGTCTAGCAGTAATGACTGCAATGCAATATCCAAGGGTGAGCGTTTTACCCATCTATGCCCTCATCCCTTCCACCTACAAAGAGGTGGAAAACTGGATCTGGTTAGTGGGCTAGATCCCAATTTCCTGCACAGGTCAGGTTTGGCAGGTGGGTGGGGCTGCCCATGTGTCAATTACCTAATGTCAACAAGGAAATCAAGGCACAGTGCTTTTGAAAGCCCCACCCTTTTTATCCAGCTGCATCTGTACCTGGCCCACACTTGATGTAATATATTATGTCAGATAAGTGTGGCTTAGCCAAAAATGGGACAGGCAGGCCCAAAACGGAGGCCACTCAGGCCTGCAGGCTAGAAGTTACACACTCCTGTTCTACATTATGAAGCCAATATAAGGTTCCTAGGGGAACTATATAAATTACCATCACCTTCAACAATGCAGCCCCAAAGCTTTGTCTAATACAGCTTAGGTATCAGTTAGGAGAGACATGACCAACTCAGTAGACAGCTACTGTAAAATCATCACAGGGGAGGTGTTTCATTAAGAGTTCAGAGAGAGCCCTGTTCTCTGAACAGCTAGCAGTGACAGAAACCAACCACTGAAGCCCAGATGAGGGTGCTGGTCCATCTACTTCATTACCACTCTAGATAATCTGCTCCACCTTTTTCTAATGTTGGCCCAGGAAAGTCACCACTTCCACAATCTCCACCCATCATGCAGCAAGGACCTTCGTTATACAGCATCTTCAATTTAACCAACGAACCATATGCTTTTACTGTACTTTTACTACCCATCCCAAAACATTTTTATAAAACTGCCTTATTGTATCAGACCAGAGATCTACCAAATCACCAAGCTTACAAGGAGGGCATAAGGTCTATGCCCAAGTTTCTGAATCTCATCTAATTACAATAATGCCACTGATGGTGCTATCCTCAAGGACTTAGTTTGGTCTTTTCCATAGGCTTCTGCTACATCTAGTCAAGTCAATGTCTGTAGGACTAGAGATGGTAGAATAACATCTCCCCTCAAACTTTCCACTCGACCCAAGTGATCAGAATATTTACAGGTGGGCAATATAAGCACAGAGTTAAATTTCCTTCTCCCTATTGCATTTTTTGTGCAGTTCACAGCTTATTAAGCCTCCCCAGAATTTTATTTTTCCTTAAAGACTTAACTTTGAGACTAGGACAACCAGTTCTAATGCATCCAAAAATATTGCATCATCAAGCTTCTAGTACCTTCAATCTAACAGATTTTTGCAGGAAGCGGGAAGAAGGAAGAGTGTGGTTTTGGGTTTGTTTACAAAACACAAAAAGAAAAGAAAACTAGCCCTTACCTGCAGCGGTCTCCATAATCACAAAACCCATTCTGGAAATATCTGCAGATCTGAGTAGACTTCCTATCATGGGAGAATCGGCAGTTCTGACCCCATCTGCAAGTCCCACGGGCAAAGTTCCTGAAAACGAAGTAAAAGCAGAATTGTAGTAAGAATCAGAGTTCAATCCTAAATGAGACCAAGAGACCAAAGTCCCAGTAAAATCAATATGCCAAACAGGAGATGCAAAAATCTTTCCGCTCTGGACTGGGGTTGAACAAAACAATTCCCAAAGAGATGAAAAGGAATTGGTAAAGTCCCTAGCTCCTCATCCTCTGGGAAAAACTCACCCGCTGGGGCATCGACAGAAGGCTTCTCTGGCTAATAATCAAACTCCATGAGAACTCAGCGGCCAGAGTGAGATTCACCCCGGAGGGTGATCTCACGAATTCAATTCCCATTAACAGAGGTGTCCGACAGGGTTGTATATTGGCTCCACTCCTGTTCAATTTGTTCATAAGTGACATGAGGACTCCCCTAATAGAGGCCCAAGAAAGGATTCATGCACCCCGCCTAGCACTTTATCGCTGCCCCTTGTTACTATATGCGGATGACGCAGCCATTCTTTCCTTTTCTAGAGTAGGTCTCAGGAGGGCCCTAAAAATGTTTGGATCATACTGTAACGCAAATTCCCTTACAATTAATTATGGGAAATCTAAGATCCTGATTTTCTCAAAGAGCCGGAAACTCCATAATTGGAGAATTGATGGGAGAGTCATCGAACAAGTCTATAGATTCCAATATTTGGGAGTTTGGTTACAACATAACCTCAGATGGAAGGCCCATGTAGCCTATGTTACAAATAGAGCCAAAGCTATCTCCTTGGCGATCTTGCGATTTTTCTTCACCGATGGGGCCCTTCATATCCCATCGGCGTTGAAAGTCTTCAAGGCCAAGGTGATTCCGACAATTGCTTATGCCATCTCAATCTGGGGGACTTTTGCCAACCTATCTCACCTGGAGGTCATTCAAAATCAGTTTTTAAGAGGGATATTGAAACTGCCCAACTGTGTAAGTAATACAGCGTTACGCATGGAACTCAATATTGTATCCCTGGAAAATGCTCTGTGGAAGCACATACTTTGTCACTGGTTATCTCTATGGCACAATCTCCCAAACTTGTACTTGATACAATGTATGTGGAGAGATGATTTCCAGAGCCCATGGGTAAAAAATTTACAGCTGAAAATAACGGCAATGGGAATCTCCCCATCCAAATTACTAGAGCAGGACATAGTCCCAGCTAAAAGAACAGTAACCTGTAAGCTAGAGGAGATGGACTTGCAGCAGAAAATGATCTTGGGCAATGGTACCTGCTCACCTCTAAATCTTGGTTTATTACCCCTCTTAAGGCTCCCAAACTATTTGAATTCCCTAACTTCCTCAGCTCATAGATATGCCTTTGTAAAGGCAAGATTCAACACCTTCCCATCGAACGTGCTGAGAAATAGATTCTCCAATGGACAGATATCACTCTTATGTGATTGTAATAGTGGGGCACCGGAATCGTTGCACCACATAATCTTTGACTGTGCTTTTCACTTACCGGCCAGGAGCAAGTTTCTTGCTCAATATCTTAAGGGAATTGCCGATGATACGATTGAAGCCAAACTGAGATATCTACTAACTGATGATGACCCCCTAAAATCACTCATGGTTGCCAGATTCCTGATCAGCGTCCTATCCCTAAAGAAGAGAAATGGTCTCCTGTGTGATTCGGATAACCCCTTTAAACCATGACCTATGTTTTAGGTGATATCACCATTGTTTTAAACCATGATCTATGTTTTACGCGATATCCCCATTGATATCCCTGATATTTATTGTAATGTATGATGGTGGTTTCTGTTTTTGTATGATGGTGGTTTTTGTTTCTGTTTTGCTTCGATTATTGTTTGTCTTTTGTAAGTTTTGGCGATTTTAAATTTGGAGGTTTAAGTATAATATGTTGGTATGGGAAACTGTCGTGTAACGGGCCAATGGCCGTAATAAAGATCAATCAATCAATCAATCCCTAGCTCCTTAGAACAAATGACAGAAAGCAAAATATGCAGGCACCATTCAAAGCAAGATCTTTGTGTGATATGTGACCTTGCTCCCCCACCTGTCAATATTTTCAGCCAACAAGTGAAGTCAGAACTGTGAATGGTGACTACTAGAGAAACTTAGTCATACAAGCCAAAGGGAAGATACAAAATGGCTTCAAAATTGTTTATTTTGAAGCCATTTTTAGAACTTTCTAGGTGGCAGAATAGATATGTCACTCTATGGAGTTCTCTCGAAATTCATGTAATGAAGAAGGATTGCCATTTTGAAGAAACTTCCTGCTTCATTTTGAAGCTGTTTTGTCTTCTTAACCGGCAGAGAAATTGATTGTCGCCTAGAGAAAATAATGGTAACATCCAGGATCTTAGTGTAGCTGGGACTGGACAATAGCATGTCCACACAAAAGCAAAAGGCAGCAGCAAAGACTGAGCTCATTCTCTTCCTAACTCAGGATTAATTTCATACAAAATTTTCCCCAAGTATGTAAACATTAAATCTTTCTTTAGCATATTTATATTGCAGAGGGATAGGCATTGTCATAGAGAAAGTATGTATTATGTACTGATCGGTTGCCATTAGGGGAGAGCATGGTTCTTATGTCTTTAGGAACACTGACAGGCAGAATTTAAACAGGTTAAGCTTTCTCTAGTATGAAAATACAATTATGGGGGAAAGCATTGTCTGTTCACACTGTCAGATGTGTCTTGTTCACAGCATTAGACACTCAGTTATATAAGCTTGGTGCCAAATGGTTCCTTAAACCAAGGTCAGGTAAAGGGACCCATGACCATTAGGTCCAGTCGTGGCCAACTCTGGGGTTGCAGCGCTCATCTCGCTTTATTGGCCGAGGGAGCCGGCATACAGCTTCCAGGTCATGTGGCCAGCATGACTAAGCCGCTTCTGGCGAACCAGAACAGCGCACGGAAACACCTTTTACCTTCCCGCCGGAGTGGTACCTATTTATCTACTTGCACTTTGACGTGCTTTCGAACTGCTAGGTTGGCAGGAGCTGGGACCGAGCAACAGGTAAACCAAGGTTACAGTTGCCAAAATGGAATGTCTAGTTGCCACTTTGGGGTAAAATAAAGTCTTATTTTTCAAATGATGGAGTGACTGTACTTATCAGTTAAACATCTGGCTAATTCAGACAACTACCTTGATCTATGTTGAGAACATTGAGAACTTAAAAGTCACTTGATCCAGAGGCAATCCACATATATACAGGGTAAGTCTTTTTAAAGAGGCCCTGTGGAACATGTGTGCTTTGTATCCATGGGGCCTCTTTTAAATGACCCACCCTGTATACAGTGGTACCTCAGGTTACAGACGCTTCAGGTTACAGACTCCGCTAACCCAGAAATAGTACCTCGGGTTAAGAACTTTGCTTCAGGATGAGAACAGAAATTGTGCAGTGGTGGCACAGCAGCAGCAGGAGGCCCCATTAGCTAAAGTGGTACTTCAGGTTAAGAACAGTTTCAGTTTAAGAACAGATCTCCAGAACGAATTAAGTTCTTAACCCTAGGTACCACTGTATAGGCATATTCCTACCTCTTTTTCTTAATGGTGACACAGACCATTCATAACATAGGGATATTCTTCGCAACTGTGAGCAGGACAGTGGAGTGGTGCAAGTGAAGACAAGCTACAACAATTAACCAAAATGTGGCTCACTGCTCCTTCTGCACAGAAAAAGTATTTGGTTCTTGAAATTCATTCTGATTGTGCAGATAAAATATAACTGAATTCTACAGGATGTAGTATTCGTGTGTGAAAACAGTCCAGATTCAATGATCCCCAGGCATGCACCCCCAGATGGTGGAGATGTCAGGTGCCCTCCTGGAGTCCAGGCATCTTCACTTGGTTGCAAGTGATCGACAGCCTGGTGCAAAATCCGCCTAGCTAATTTCGAAGACTACTTGCTTGTGATCCCAGACTTATTTTGGGGCCCTGCAAAAGATGATAGAAATTTGCATGTGGCACGAAGCACATAAAATTGTAGTGTAAACTTGTCATATTTCACAAGAGGAGCATAGAGCCCAATCCACACACAGTGTCCTGGGCCCAGAAAATCCTTTTGGCACCCCTGGCAGGTTGAATTATTTCCTGCCATCATCATACTATCTCCCATCCATCCTCAGACTACAATCAGGCAGCATTCTTTGAAATTCCTCTGTATGGCCAAGGTCAGGAAGAAATCATTACAATAGTCAGACAATAACATTTGCAATGTGTCCAGATTTGCTCAGATAAACCAAACCTCCAATGATAACTTTGTATATCTACAAGACGGGACAGGGATAGCATCTCAGCTTCACACCCAACATAGGCATTAAGCAAATAGCTTGTATGGGCTTAGATTGCACACAATCGTAAGCCAGTATGAAACAACTACAGCTTACTTTATATGGTAAACCACCCTGTGCTCTTCAGATGAAGGGCAGTACAGTATAGAAATTTTAACAACAACAACAGGAATGAGCAGAGGGCTGGCTGCAGCAGCTTAAATGGTACCTGCCCCTTTCCACTCTTTTCTAAACTGGAAACAAACAAACTACAGTGCTGGCTTAGGGTAGGAACCGGTACTTGTAGTTTGTTTGAAGAAGCACAAACCATGAACCCCGGTTCTCACACATCACTACTCCAGAACTGTGGTTTGTTTTCCTCCAGCTCAGAAAAGAGCAGTATGGCAGGTGGGTTACCACCAGCTTACTGTTCGCTTGTGGCAAGTCAGTTTGTTTCAGACTACAGTTTACAGTTGTGCACAAATAGAATCGATGCCATTTTCAAAATAAGCTTTAATGTTTTAGGTGGGCAAGGGAAAGAGAATAAGGGGCAGATTAAGTTTTGTCTACACTGACTAGCAGTGACTCTCCATGGGGTACTTCCCAGCCCTAATGGAAAATGCCAGGAATTGAACCTGGGAACTTTTGTATACAAAGCAAATGTACCCTCCCTTTTGTGTGGAGACATTTGAAGTGGGCAAAGCGCTCTAAAGTGGGTGAGCAGGCAGAGTGCATGGTAACTGAAGAAGGGAACCATAAACCACCTAAAAACGAGGCATGTGATTTGCACCTAGTAGACCCTCACTTCAGTAGGCACTGCCCAACACCAAGTCATATTTAAAAGCAGCAGAACTAGTAGGGGTGCATATATTTCTTTTTAAAGCTACTAGGAGAAACTAGGTTTCCCATATATTGACCCAAGCCAGTAAAACTTCACCGGTATATAAACAGCACTGGAGTTGGTAAAACCAGCAAATCTTGCTCTTATGAAGTTCCGAGTGTTATTTCAGACTCTGCCCTTGCTATGGAAGACTTTTGCTCTAACCCCTTTCAAGGGGGCTGCATTTGCAAAAGTTTATTAGAAATTCTCAGTCCCTTGGCTAAGAGGCACCAGCCCTGGAAAGCTCCTTGCACAAAAGTTGCGAGCGCCCCCAGCCGCAAGGAACCTAGCCGTTCAAAACACACCACTCCTTAGCCTGGTTTACTTAAAAGCAAATACACCCGGTAACGGCGCGCGCGCGTGCGCTTTCCCCTATCCTTTTACATACAAGACGAATGGGGAGGGGACCCTCTCGAAGTTTTTGCTGCCGAAAAGCAGGGCGTGATCATGTTGTTGTGCACGGCTTTGTTTCGGGCCACACTACAGCCACCGCCACGCCCTGAAAGTAGCAGCAACACTACTACGGGAAGGAGTCGTCGTCCCCACCATCTTTCCTCCACCCCCCCCCTCTCCGACGGGGGTGCAAACCCAACCCGATTGCCCGATGCCGATAAAGGTCTCCGGAACTCCGAGGGCTGCAAAGCAAGCAAGCGCGATACAAGTTCTCGGTCGCTGGGGGAAGAAGATGCAAGTTAGCAGCGAGGTCGCCAAAGTTTGCCAGTCACTGGGAAGAAGCCGCTCAGCTGTCGAGCAAAACAACAGTGCTGCTGAATCACTTTCCTGCAATTCCGACTTCCTGTCCCAGCCACCTATATGGAAGCATACAGCCCAACAACCATGACGGAGGGAAAATTCCGCTTTGGGGCGCCGCTGCCGTCCGAGCGCACTTGGGGCCTGGCGCGCCTCTGGACGACGGGACGGAGCTCGAGGAGCCCAGCGACCCCTTTCCTGCACATTCTCTATACAGGTACCTGCAAGGGATCCTATGGGATCCAGGCCCTTTGGAAGCCCGGCGGCCGCTACCGCTACCACCACCGGCGCCGCCTTCTCCAACAGATAGCCACGGCTCCATCGGTGTCCCTTGCAGTCGGACCCAGAAACTCCGAAATGCAACCCGCCTCCTCTCCCTGCAGAAATACTTCGGGCAGGGGAGTGGTTTAGGACAGGAGAGCCCATTGGAGAAGAGCAGACGGGCACACCCAGCTTTTTAGTCGGCCGTCGAATGGAAGAGCTTCAATTCGAAAAGGACTCTCCTCCCAGCCGTCCCGCCTCGTCGGGAAACTGCGTTCGCCCTCGTACGCAGCAGGCGCGGGGATAGAGGGACGGCCAGGCGGCGCAACATCCTACGTTTGGCTTCCGGTGCCCCGCCGCTTGCACTTCGCGGGGCTGCAATCCTGTGCACGTTTACTTACGAGTAAAACCCACTGAACGGAGCGGGATTTTCTTCCAGGGAAACATGCCAGCGATTGCTTTGTTAACGTCTTCGTTGGGTCTTCCAGAATAATAAAAGGAGGAGGATGCTTATGTTTTTTGCAACGTAAGACAATGCACTTTTTATTTTATTAGCAAAGGGTGGAACTGTGCATGTTGCGACGTTTGTAGCACAATTAGAGCTACTAACGTTTACTCGTAAGGGGAGGGCGGGCTAAGCGCCCAAGCAACGTGGTAGCAGGTGGAATTTATAGTCGCTTGTGGACTGAACCGAAACAAAGGATTTTTAGCACGTGTGCCAATTGGCTTACCGATGCCAGGCTCCCTTTGGCACCATCAAGTTTTGTGAATTGCCAATGTTAATTTTAATTATCGTCAGTACTTTTCCTGCCTTTCATTTCCCTCCGACCTCACTGTTTACAACTCCGCCCCCCGCAACTCTTGTGTGGTGTTAGTGATTTTTATACACTACTCAGGATAACATTTCATGCGTCTGATGAAGTGGACTGTAGTCCATGAAAGCTTATGCCATAATAAATTCATTAGCCAATAAAGTGCTACAAAAGTCCTGGTTCTTTTAGTTCCAAAATAGAGTTTACAGATTGAAATACTTTCTGGAAATTGCTGCAAGTATCGAGGTACACCTACGGTTCTAGGATAAAGCAGTCATGACTGATTACTATTTCTGACAATTTATATTGGGCTTTATAGCTCAATAAAGGCGTTGTCCAACTATTGATTTAGGAGGTTTTTTTCTTATGGAAATCCAGCCATTCAGGGTAGAATTCACAACCAGTGGAAGGTAGATTCCTTTGTGAGGGTGGCATCCCCTCCAGCCACTAGGTAATATACTATACAGTTTGGTTTTAATTTACTCATTTTTACTTATCCCACATTGAAAATTAATGCCTGGCTTTGCTAAATTAAAGATTCATGTTTCTCTTTACTTCTACTCTCTGCTTACCCTAGGCATTTAGAGTTTGGGACTGATCTGGATTACAAACCAGACTTTCATACCTCAGAAATGAAGGCATTAGCTTCTTTAGCCCAGAAACCTAGGTGTGTATTGTGATATCTATAACACCTGGGACAGGTTTATTCAGCCTTCAACCTCCATCTTGGAACTGAGTCTGCAAGCTGAGGTCATACCTACCTCAGCCAAATTTTTGTACCTTCTTCTTGAAAAAAGTTCCTAGTCCCTCACCTCCCAACATCTTGCATGACTAAGCATTCTTGAGAACCTTAAAGCTTGCCAGACATTTTTGTTGGTCCCAATAAGTAATTTCCAGCTGTGGATTTTGGAGTTTCTTCTATAGCCCAACATGGCTACCTAGTTACCTTTGCTTTTTATAAACCCTGTCACAGTTACAGGAATGCACAATAAAAAGGATGTCTGCCCTCCCCCCTTTAGCAACTCACCAGCTGGCCACGGGGCAGCTATTCTCTCTTTGTCTCTCCCTATCCGGGGGATGGAATAATAATGCTACCCTATCTTCCTAAATTGTAAGGATTACTGAAGCAATATATGTGTTCAAAGTGCTAGATTCACGACTACTACAACTGTCACTCAGTGTTCGAAACTCCCATTGTTCTAGGCACATTTCCGACAGGGAATTTCCTTAGTGTGAGCAGTTTGAATACTGCGCCTAAGATTTCAGATTAAAACTGCAGAGTGGAAGGAAAGGAGGACCTTTTTCTGCCTCCTCACCTCCAGTCACTCTCTGAAGACTGGAAAGAGACCCTCCTAAGAATATTAACAGGGTGGGCAGGGGAAGGACTAAATGAACATAATATTTTAGCTGCAGTTCATTCATTTTCAGCTTTGTATTCTTGTTATAAAAAAAGTGTGCCTAGACATTCTGTTGTTGTGCCCATAACCTAGGATTAAGGTGCCATTTAGCTCCTAGCTTTCATATCTCAGTTTCTAACACTGCTGTCACTACTACATAAGAGCTTGCACCAATGTCCTCATCAAGTAAACAGTGTTTGTTTATTGCTGTTTTTACCATTTTTATATGTTTCTAATTCAACTGCAGCCATTTTTAAAAGGGTGAATACTTGCTTGGCTCTTAAACCCCATGAGAGAACAAAGCCACACATGCTATAGCTTATTCCTTAGTCTACATGTTTAGAGAAGTTTTTAAATGTTTGATGTTTCATCGTGTTTTTAATATTCTGTTGGGAGCCACCCACAGTGGCTGGGGAAACCCAGTCAGATGGGCGGGGTATAAATAAAATTATTATTATTATTATTATTGTTATTATTATTATTATTATTATTATTATTATTATTAAAAACAGACAAATGCAGCAACAGCCACAGGACCCATTAATGCTGTGCTAAAACAGATACTGATGGAAAAGGTCCTCCCCTTCATTGCTAGTTCTCATTGCCTCACCCAGGCGTACTAAGTATGGCTTTCTGTGGTTTAGAAACAGCCACAGTATGCATGGCAAAAATGAACTTTCTTATCCTCAAACATCCCATTCAGTGGTGCAATTAAGTAATTTTAGACTTTGGGCTTAATAGCCTTAAAAGGCCTTTCTCCATCTTCAGATAATATTGTATCATTATCACTATTATTAATTAAATTTGTATACCGCCCTATACCCACAGGTCTTAGGGCTGTTCACAAGATAACATCATATTAACGTCATAATACACAGTATTTCATTTACTTCTGACTGTGACTATCCGACACAGCTATATTTGGGGACCTTCTGATTATTCCGCTACATGGGGCCCTGGATGTCTGCCCCCAAGTCTCACCCTGATGGTACCACTGTCCCCATCCACACAGACAAATCCATTGCTACCATTAGAGCGATGCGCTCCTATTACATGCACAAAGAGGAGCACACCATCCTGCATTGCTGTTCCCCAGTCTCTTTGTTGAAAAATGGAGCATGTTTCATCATGTGTTTCTTCCAGAGCTTATGGAGAGCTTCCATGAAAGCAATACTGCACACATTCCTAGAAACAATTTCTCTTCCCGCTCACCCCCCCCAACCTGTTTCTGGGTGACTGTATTTTTTACAAGGCATTCCGTTCTAATTAGCTAGCAGACTTCTCTCCATTATCACTAAATTGGAAGAAAAACCCTAAAGGTAGGACCTAATACAACACTTGTACCTAGAAACAATTTCTCCCTTCAGATTGTTTTGATCATCCCTTCTGAGGAATTATTTAGTGTAACTCAAATGCTAGCATAATACATTGTGAATGGGGGTTTGTAAAAACAATAACAACCCCACAGTCTCTCTGAATTTTGGAAGAGTTGGATGAAATATAGGCTTATTCCTTAGTCTACTTGTTTAGAGAAGTTTTTAGTGTCTGATGTTTCAGAGGCCCCTGAAATGGGCTAAAGAAGTGCTATAGTGTAAAAGTTTCTTAAATATTTATTTCCAATTTAAAATTGTCAGTCACTATTTATATTATTAAAAACACCTGGAGGTTGAACTTCTAGCAAAAATATACATTTCAGTTTCAGGATTGCTACAACATCCCAGAAAAAAAGAAAGAAAGGAGAGTGTGCAGTCCTCAAGTGCTGGAAATACATGCCCAGCAAGTCCTGAGGGATAGCAAGATAAGCAGGTGAAGAGGCTTTCAAGGGTGGTGGGTTTAGGGCAGGTGAAATTAAAAATCACAAACTATTCTTGTCAGTGATCTCTGGTTCCTGCTACATGAAGGCTCCAAATTGCTTTACTAAGACACATTCCACCAGCCTCACAGCATTCCTGTGAGGCAGAGATGAAACACACCAGTTATTTCAATCTGGAAATAAAGAGGCACAGCAAAATCAAGTACCAGCCAGTCCATCAGTGCAGCCCTGGAAGAAGATTGCAAGGATTAAGCAACTTACTTCCCTACACTCGTAAGGAAAATAACAAGATTCAGACCAATTCTGCGTATTAGCCATCATGTCTAGGTAGTGAACAATCCTAAGGTTGAAAACCACAAAGGATCCTATTACTATTATGGACTTTGAGGGTGGTGGAAGCAGTTATGTAATGGGATTTGTTGCTAAAGCACTGAGGGTCCCTGATATTGGAAGTGGCGGGGGGGGGGGGACAGTTCTTGTTTCCAGACAACTATGATCCCAGGAACCACACAGAGACTGTGCCAAAAAGAAAGAGTTTCAAAGCACAGTAAGTGTTTGCTTTGTATATGAGACAGAAAGGATCCGAAATGGTTCAGATGAGTGCTTGCAGGACCTTATGTGTCTGAGAATTTTCTGCACTAATCAGCCTAAGGGAAGATGAGTCAGACATTGTAACATTGAAGGGCAGTGGTTTTCAACTGGCAAGAGAGATGGGTTGCGGCAATGCTACCACCGCCATTTTGCTTTGTGGCAAAGATGGGTGACGTTTCCTGTGTGCATAGGGCCTTGGAAGTAGGTCCTGTTTTCCATGTTGATGTTCTAGGTGCTACTTAAATAGGTCTTGCCTTTGCTATCATGTGACCAACATCACCAAAAGGTAATTTTGTATTCAAAGGATGAAGTGCAGAATCCAAAGCTGAGCTCCACCAGTGTAACTGAACTTCTGCACCCTAAAGCCCCTGCCTCCACCCTCCTCTGGAGGGTTGGGAGACCCCCTGGAGCAGATTTGGGGGACACGCAGGGAGAGAAAAAGAAACTCAAGCGCTGTTGTCCGAGTGGAACTCTGCTTGTAGAGTGCTAGATACAACCCTTAATGTTGTCTGGTAGATGTAGAAGAGGAGCTTAGAGACAACACATGAGCACTTGGACTACAATTCTATACTCATCTGAACTTACCACTTAAGAAACTGAACTTATTTTCTAGCCTTCTACAGTGGAACCCCGGGTTGCATACAGTCCTCCTTATGAACACTTCAGGTAACGAGCTCCGCTAACCTGGAAGTAGATGCTCCCGGGATGCGAGAAGTCGTCACGCACCAGTGGTGTGGCAGCAGCAGGAGGCCCCATTAGCTAAAGTGGTGCTTCAGGTTAAGAACAATTTCGGGTTAAGAACAGACCTCCGGAACAAATTAAGTTCGTAACCAGAGGTACCAATGTATATGGATTGCATTCCAAGGGCAAAAATTGCCTAGACTCTGGTACTGTCTGAAAAAGTGCTGGTGGCAAATTAGCAAGGTTATAATCAAACTCTAGGCAAACGAGTGGCCGAGTAAAATGTCCATGATGTTGATTTTACATTTTTGCTTACTTAATAAGGAATGCACATAGGTTAAAGGCATCTTTCCAGTAAGGGGTACAAAATGAAATATCATGGGTTAAAGGCATCTACTCTCTGAAGGGTGCAAAATGATAAATCATGAGTTATTGCAGTAAAAGATTTCTACTGGTAGTTCAGAACAGCTGAGCTTTGTGGCTTTAAAACAGAAACACAGGGAGCTGTCTTATACCTAGGTAGAGCCATCTTGTTCAGTCTTTCCTACATTGCCTGACAGCTGGGGATTGAACCAAGAGCCTTTTGTAGGTAAAGTATTTGCCCTACCCCTGAGCTACAGTGCCTCCCCAAAAGCCACAGCTGGGACAAAATTAAGTTCTCAAAGTTCTGTCCCAGCCCAAAGACATGTATTTCAGCATTGCTGAAAGCAAGCACACATAAAAACAGTAATCTCGGCATGAAGCAATGGAGTTGGTAATTCACACAGATTAGGCTCTCTTCTTCAGCAAATCCACTCCACAATTCCCAATGGAAGAGGTTCTCTTCTCATTTACTGTGGCTGGAGTGGAGAAAAATCTCAGAGGTATGTGGCTTACTCTTTCAGGTTACATAGGCACTAAAAACTGCACATCATCAAGTTCCCGAAGATGGAGTGTTGCAGGACAGGAACTCGTCAGGAACTACAGCATCAGAGAGAGGAACTATTGTAACTATTATTTCCCTTCTCCAAAGACTGTCAAGGGAAATCCAAATTAAAAATATGTCACACACACAAAGCACGGAAAGATCAACCCATCTGCTCATCATGCCCAACATAGTCTGCTCTGACTTGCAGCAGCTCTCCAGGGTATTGGGCAGAGGCGAGTCCCATCACCTACGCCCTGACCTTTTAACTGGAGATGCCTGGGATTGAATCTGGGACCTTCTGCCTTCAAAGCATGTGTTCTGCTGAGCTATGCTCCTTCCACAGATATATTAGGTAAACTTTACAGCAGCAGACTTTTAAAATATCCCTATCATCTAGTGAATGGTCTTTAGAGTTCTCTGCACCCAAATCTAGAAAATGAAGACAAAATGCTAAAATTTCTGTATGGAGGGAAAGAAAGAAGGAAATTGCATGATTTGAGCTGAAATGGTTGGACAACTAGCAGTGTCAAACAAACTTTTGTGCCACCTACACATCCGTCACCACAAAGTTGTAAATTATTACATTCTGTTTGTTGTGTCAAGATTGTTTGGACAGAAAGTTCTCTCCCTTCATGAAAGCATACTGTCTATTTGAAATGTGCAGAAATAAGCAAACTTGCCTAAGGCCACATAGCAACAACACAGTACCTCAGTGCCAAGGCTAGCAGGCCATACCCAAACATCATGCTAATCTGGGAACAGTATACTGGAAGTCACAGGTGGAAGAAACTTGACAACTCACACAATGCATCATCCATGTCTAGGCAGAATGGTCTCACACTGTTCACACAGACATGTGACAATGACTTCCCTGCTGCCACTTTGCTGCAACTGACCAGCAAAGAAGACCTGTGTTCAAAGCGAGCTGACAACTGCAAAAGGTGTCTGGTGAGATCCTTAAGGCTGAAGCAGGACCAACTCAAGGAAATCAAAAGGAGCCAGAATCTGATATAAGGCCTTTAAAAATACAGTAAAAATTGGTAATCTGATGAGGAAATGTTGAAGGGGGTGACGTTGAAATGCTGTGGTTTTTGCTATCTATCACTTTTTTATTACGAAGGTGTAAGAAACAATGGGCAGAACCAGCAGAGTGCCGTATGTGCCTCTGGCACTGCAATTCACATATAAAGTGTCTTCCTCAGATATTTTGGGCAGCACAGGCACCGGATTCTGCCATAACTTATTTTAGGAGGGGCAACACGTGTGTAACATCACGTGTGGTGGGAGGAGGCCGCAGGTAGGGCCAGCGGGGCCAGTTGTAGCCACGTGAAGGCCCTATGGGGCCTGTCGCAGCAGCAGGAAGGCCTGACAGGGTCTCCAGCAGGCCACAGAATATTGAGGGGGCTTGGCCCCTCCTTGGAAATTGGGGGGCACTTGGTACCCCCAGAGGGTGCCTCTTTTGGGCAGTCTGGAGAATACCAGGATGCAGGAGGTGGGGAAGTGCAGCAAAACAAAAGCAATCATCACTGTCTTCACTAACATCCTTGTATTGTCGTGACCTCACAGTGGTCCATGGGCTGCCCTTTGAAAAGCAAAATCCACATTATATCTAGCCCAGATAAGGAGACACCCAAGTGCTTATTCAAGTGCAGGATCTACCTTGGAAGGAAGCAAATAGACTTTTGGCAGGTACTATCCGAGAGCAAAAGTTCCACGACATCAGGCTCAACTTCATTTGGCAAGCACTGAAGCACAGGGCAAGGAACAGAAGAAGAAAGCCATCTCTCTGCTGTAAGCTTGAAAGTGCCACACATGCCCATAAAGGGCTTCAACAAGCTACACTATAAAAGAACCCAAAGGAGAGAAAGAGAGAGAGAGAGAGAGAGAGGAGAGGGGGGGGAAATGCAGAGGACAGGAGGTATGGCCTTTCACGGAGAAGGCATTTCTGTTTTTGTGCACCAAGGAGATAAGCAAAGTATCTCCACAAGGAGTGTCCGTACCCTTCATCAAACACTTGGAGGTTTCTTTGGGAAATGTATACACAGACACACACACGCATGAACACACACACACCCTTTCCTTGTAACACCCTAGAATTTACGGCTGAGGGCCAAGCTAGAATTCAGAGTGCAATATAAAAATAATGTACAACGGATATATGTTGCAAGTGCTGTTCCTGTACCTGCCAGCCAAGCTACTGCTTGCTTTAACTGGATGGACAAAACCCGCGTTGTCCAACCGCAGAATCCAACCCACAGTTCAAACACGTTTGCGAGGTTGCGTGTAAACACATCAGCTGCTCTGGAACAGTGTAACAGCTGAACTGTAGCAACAGATATTTAGCTTATGATGTGCCTTTAAGTTTCACTTAGTGTATGTTAACGGAAGCCCTGATCTACCACCATGTGGTAGATGCCAAGTCTTTTGCTGTACAACACCCCCTCCCCTCTATGTACAGAATGCAGCAATCATATAGAAAAAAGCAATTACAGTAGAAGGAATGGAAGACACAGGGGATTTCTTTGCTAATGTACAAAGCATTTTGCTGGATTCCATGGCTTTAACCTATCTCTTAAATATAGGCTCCTCAGTACATGTCCTTGTAGATTTCCTGCAAGAGTGGGTGCAGAGAAGTCTCCGTCTCTGTCTTTTTGATCTTCTGCACCAGCTGCGCATGCTCAGTCACCAACTGTCGCAAGTCAGCCATTTTCTGCAGCAGCTTAGGGAAGAGGTATTGAGTGTCTGGGTGGTTGGCCTGCAAGTGGAACTCGAGGGCCTGGAGGATATTGTCTTGAATCTCCTCTACCTGTTTAACGTTCATCAGGCCAGGACGGTCTACAAAAGGGGGAGAGAGAGAGAGAGAGAGAGAGAGAGAGAGAGAGAGAGACATTATTTTCCAAACCTTTACCTGTCTGAACACCAAGAGAAGCTCAGACTAGCCTGCTCCTCAGCGTGACATTTTGACATCTGTAGGGAGTTTTCCTCATGAAGGAGCATTCAAACATGTAGCACCCTCTCTCCTGAACAAATGCAAACATGTCTGCTGCCTGAAGTGATCTTAACCACTTGATGCTGTGTATTATATAAGTTGGGGAAACAAGGATGAATTCAGATGAGACGTTTTGAGCGAAAGGTGGGTGTTTTGATGTCACTTCCCCAAGTACAAACTATGTTTTTTCTGTCTTCCTGCAGGCTCCAATCGTGTAACTTCTGCAGATTTTTGGCAACTTCGTCTGAAAGGGAAATACCCAACTCTCCTCTCAAAAAGGTTATGAAAACAGTTGTGTGTAAGGCTATGTGTGACTAGTGCTGCATGACATCACTGAGGATGGTAACACATTCTATTCCACCCTCCCCATAATCTCTGGAGTAGTTTTCCAGCTGTTCTAAAAAAGATTTCATACACACACAGAAATGCACAGAATGAGCACATACATGCAAATGTGCTTCTATAAACAAGAAAACAGAGTAGTGCCAAGGCTGCCCTGACCTCTCACTCACTATTTAAAGATTTGTTTATTTTAAACCACACTTTACTGAGCAATGCTGCACTACAGCAAACATTTATCATTATTTTTACTTAAAGGAATGAACAGGATTTCTCCACGGCAAGGTTCATTTTCTTCTTCACTACATCTGTCTGTTAAATCAGTTATAGAAGCTGAACTGGGGTGTGTGAGATGTGGTACCAAAGACAAGGTCAAAATGGCCAAAGATCTCAACAGAGTTAAGAGAGGTACTGAGGACCAAACAGTCATGGGAGGTAAGAGAGGAGAGCAAGAGTCAGCAAAGAAATAATAACAATAAGGATTTTTAAAGATTAAAAATGAAGAAGTGGGTGGTATCCTGAATGAGAAGAAAGTAACAAGGATGTTGTGGTAAGTGCTAAATTGGATGTGGATGCAATCCTATCCATATTCACTTAGAAGTTAGTCCAACTGTGTTCCGTAGGGGTTACTCTCAGGTAAGCATGTGCAGGACTGTGGAGAAGATGATTTAATACTTTCTAGCTTTTTCATCCTGTCTGCATTGCCAGCATCACAATCACACCTTCAAACTAACATTAACTGCTCTTAACCTAGCAGGATAATGGCCCGGTCTTCATCAGCAAGCTTTTAGAAAGTATATACTATTGCTAGCAAAGAACTCCCCCTTCTCACCTCCACACAGGATGATGGCAGCTACAAACAGAGACAGGTCACTGTCATCCAGCTCCAGGGCGTTGAACTTCACAGCAAACTCAAATTTGGGCTCCATGATTTCACTGAAGGGCTTTCGCAAGCTGCGCAGGAACTCGCGCGTCACAAAGCCATTCCCATTGGCCACCAGGAGTCCATCTTTGTTCATAATGGAGGCCAGCATTGCAAAGATGGCCTCGTGCACCCCGTATTTCAGCAGAGTCACTTGGTCATTAAGGTACAAGCTAATGAAGCTAGGGATGCTCTTGGCAAATTCTGTGAGCTCCCGCACAGTCTCCACGGACGTGCACTGGCAGCGGTAAAAAACGTGGACGCCAATCTCCTTGGATGGTGGTATCCCATTCACCAGCTGCTTCCACACGAGACCCTTTTCCGCTTGCCACAGGGTATCCATGTCATGAATCACAAAAGGCTACAAAGAACAAACACATAGAGTCAGGATTCTGCAGTGAGGAATCAAGCTATAGGCTAAAGTGCAGTGGTGGGGAACCCCAGGCCTGGGGGTGAAATGTGGCCCTCCAGATCTCTCCATCTGGACCTCAGAGTTCTGCCAGCCACCCCCTCACTGGCCCTGCTCCCCCCCCCGCCCCCCACCAAGTGTTATTGCCTGGCTGGAAAGTGTTCTTCAACTCTGTTAATGCCTCTAGCTTCCTCAGATGGGAGCCAGAAAATGTGAGTTTGTGTAGAAAATAGCCTCCTCTACAAAGGTCATTTCTTGCTCCACCCACTTTTCTCTTGCTCCACCCACTTTTCCTCTTGCTCCACCCACTTTTGTTTATAGCCCTGCTCACCAGTGGCAGCTGGTCCAGAAGGGAATGTGCTCCTTGGGCTGAAAAAGGTTCCCTACCCATGATATACTGAGTGGTGATGCTTATGAACCATGTCCCTTCCAGCTCCATAATTCTACGAGTCTATGATTATGCAAGCCTCATAGAGACTGTGCCCATCTCTGCACTGATCTCTGCTTTTTTAAATGGATCAGGAAATTGTTAATACAAAATATGATTGGAAAGAGGGTGAAGTATTGCTGAACAAGAATTTGTAAAGGGGAACACAGAAAAGGGAGATGTGAGGAAGTCTGGAAGGAGGGTTATGAAAATAACATCTAAGGAATTGGTTTTTTATGTTCTTTTCCCCCTCATTTTTCCATGTCTTTTTTCTTCTATTTTGTATGGGGTTGCTTTTTTTTTATTGTACTTTTTTCTTTTTTGGTTATTTTGACTGATTGTGACGGTGTTTTCTCTTTTTGGTTGTGAATGTGAAGTTTGTTTTATTGTTTAAAAAACTTTAATAAATATCTTTTTAAAAAAAATGGATCAGGAAATTGTTAGTACCAAACTCATATTCTACTTGATGCTTTTTCATACCTTTCCTGACTTTCAGATTGGCACTGCATTTATTGGTGAAAGCTGCCAGTTTGACTTAAACAGTAAGCTTCATTGCTTCCTAAGTGACAAGATCACTGGCTTGGGATATTGTGTAAATGAAGCATAAATTGTATCAAAACATTTATTGTGTAAATGAAGCTTAAATTGTAGCAAAAGAAAAAAAAAAGAAAAAGAAAAAGCTCAAATAACACAACTGTGCTCACAGTCCTGCCAGATATCCTGTATCTCCAGTTATCGGAAACACTAGCAAACAACACTGTGCTGAATTCATAGAAGGAAGAGAGGAAGAAGAAGGAAGAAGAAGGAAGAAGAAGAAGAAGAAGAAGAAGAAGAAGAAGAAGAAGAAGAAGAAGAAGAATAGCAAGCAACTTCTTTAAAATAAAATTAAGGCTGATACAGAAGAAAGATTGCACTGAGGACTTGTTGATAATCAGGATGGTGAGGTACTATACAAAACTTCAATTTACTGAATTCAGTGAAGTTTGAAGTGAAATACAGAATAAGCACTTCTGGATATTTCAGACACCAGTTCCAATTTAGAGTAAAAAAACTTGGGTCCTTCTATTATTTTCAAGGATAATTACCTCCTGGGATGGAGCAGGATATAAAATGAAAGTTCATCTTACCTATCTATAGTTATTATGACACCTGTGTACAATGATAAAGAAGCATTCTTCAATAGTACAAATGAATATGTATTACCACTATTTAATAATGCTATAGGGATGCCTACTTTTTTGACCTTTCACCCTAAAAAAAATTCTCCCACCTTTTCCTGGATGGTAATGCTGATGTCTATATAGCTCGATTTTATAGTCCCCAGTGAGCTATATGTATAAATAAACTTCTATATTTCTTTTGGGAAGCCACATGGGATAGAGCCTTAAAAAGGAAGAAGAATGTGTTTTCATGGGAAACATTCCCTCAGTGGAATCAATGGATTATAATTTTTTCTTTTCTTTTCTTTTGTGCATTTAGGATTGAACTCAATCACCACCGTTTGCACTAACTAAAACTCTGTACAGGTAGGTAGCCGTGTTGGTGTGCCATAGTCAAAACAAAACAAAAAAAAATTAAAAAAGATTTTAAAATCCTTCCAGTAGCACCTTAGAGACCAACTAAGTTAATTATTGGTATGAGCTTTCATGTGCATGCACACTTCTTCAGATAAAACTCTGTAGAATAATTTGAATACAGAAAACTTCTGGTTATCCTGGTGATGTAACTCAGGTCACACTGATCACACCAGCAGCCTCAATATCAACAAAACACCAAGCTTCTCTTTATGAGCAAGACCAAATAGTTGATTAAAGTTCTTTGATGTCAGAGAGTCTGCTTTGGGCACAGCATTGAATCTCTTGGACTGCAGATGCCAAGAGCTTGCCTGGCAAGTTCTGCTCCACTTTCATCCCTCTGGGACTGAGGTACTCACTGGAGTGCTGCTGGCTTTCCCAGTCAGGATGCCTCGTGCCTTCTTTTTGGTCATGTTGAAATTTTTCAGGTAGGCGTTGTAGATGTGCTTGGAAAATACTTTCAGGTCAGCTACTTGCTGGTTCTGACAGGTGATCTCACTTGCTGTCAGTCCTGCCACTAGCTTCCTTTTCTCAGCTTCAGGCATGCGGCCGAAACGAATGGCTGAAGAAACGTAATAAAGAAGATACTGTTAGGAGTCTTGGGACAAAATAACATCCCCATGTCTTTCCAACTATTTATTTATTGAAGACATTTCATATTATACAATTATAGGTGGACGGGGAGGGAAACAAAAAATAAGAGTGTTACTTATTACATTTATATCCCTCTTTTTCCATCAGGAAGCTCAAGGTGGTGTTTTCGGGCACTGTGCTCTTACACAGGTCACGTGGCTGATGCAAGAGCACATCCCAGAAGATGCACATCCCAGTTTTCTGCTGGGACATGTTGGAGGGCATGGTGGCACCATTCAGATAACAAAAACTACCACAGAGATATCAACGTTTTCAAAAGTAGGGGGTCTATGGCTTGGCTTTTAAAAAACAGGGTGTCCACAGTACTTACCGTATTTTTCGCCCTATAGGACGCACTTTTCCCCCTCCAAAAATGAAGGGGAAATGTGTGTGCGTCCTATGGGGCGAATGCAGGCTCTCGCTGAAGCCTGGAGAGTGAGAGGGGTCGGTGCGCACCGACCCCTCTCGCTCTCCAGGCTTCAGGCGGGCAACTCTCCGCATGGCGCGGGAGCCCGACACTGGGCTCCCACGGCTTGCGGAGAGTTGCCTGCATGACGAAGCCTGGGCACACTGAGCTCAGCGTGCCCAGGCTTCGCACAGCTCTCCACAAGGTGCGGGAGCTTAGCGCCGGGCTCCCACCACTTGCGGAGAGTTGCCTGCATGCTGAAGCCTGGGCACGCTGAGCTCAGCGCACCCAGGCTTCGCGCAGCTCTCCGCAAGGCGCAGGAGCCCGGCGCCGGGCTCCCACCGCTTGCGGAGAGTTGCCTGTTTTGGGGGCTGGGGTCGGGGAAAACTTGGGCTTCCCCCGCCCCAGCCCCGCGCCTGGGGGGGAAATAATTTTTCCCCTTTATTTCCCCCCAAAAAACTAGGTGTGCCTTATGGGACGGTGCGTCCTATAGGGCGAAAAATATGGTAGCTAATTGGGAACCACTTTTCTAAAGACAAAACAAGGAAAAATAGACTGGAAGCAATAGACATTGACATGCCTTTCTTAGGCTGTGTCCATAACAATCATTTCCAGAAGGAAAGACATGCAGGCTGTGCAATGATTCCAACCCACTACCTGGCTAACGAGGATGACTGCCAGAGCAACATAGTTAGACACTCCCCCCCAAACACCCCCACCCACAATACTAAACACGTTGCCTACAGAAAACACAAAGTTCCATTTCTAGCTATGTTTTTCTTCCTGTATCTAGAGCTAAGGGGAGGAGAGGAGTCTCACCGTTGTGCGACATGCCCAGGGAGAGGCATTTCTGAAAGCGGCAGTACTGGCACTTGTTTCGGTTCTTCTTCTGAATTTTACAGCTCCGCTCACACCTCTCGTACTCCAGTTTCATACGGATTGTTCGACGAAAGAAGCCCTGTTGGAGAGCGGGCAGAGGGAGAAAAGAAACAGGGAGATGGGTCATTGCGATAACACAGCAGCTCCTTATAAAATGTCCCAGGATTACTGTCAACTTGAGTCTCAGGACAGAATATCATTTTCAGCAACAAGCAAAGAGACTTCAGAACAATGGAACACACTACATGCTAGCATACACATGGAGAAGGACTGAAGGCAGGACAACACTCCCAGCTTATGAACTGATTGCTTACAAAGTAGGCTTTGTATGGACAAGCATAACAATATTTGGAACTCGTTTATTAAAAAATATGGTAGGTTATAAATAACCATAAATCTATCTGTATAATAGTAACATTCATATACCTACATACTAGACTTGCATATATGGAATTGTAGTATATAGTGATATAATGTACCTTTTATTTTTATTTCTTTATGCACTTTTAATTTTTACTTTATTTTGTTCAATTGAAATATTCTTAAAAAAAATTTTTTAACATACACATGGAGAAAAGAATGGTACAAGCAGGAAGAAAGCCTAAACATAATTGTCCCGTGTAAAAAAACAGCAAAAAACAGACTTGTAGTATCACAAAGATCCAGCAGGGGGATATGAATAAACAAATCCAGCTTTTCAACATCCTTGTCTCTCTCCCTTCAGCTTCCCCGCCCCCGCCCCCTTTGAATAATTTTGGCATCACTTAGACATTGAATAACTCAACTCCTTTGGCATTCTGCGATTCCAACAGCCAGCCAAATGATCAGGAGCAGAATAGGTTCACAGGTGTCCCATGGAGTATGTCAGCCAAAGATTATGTCTAAAAGTAATGTCTATGTTCTCAGGGAGACCAGAGTTGATGGAGAATAGTGACAGGGAAGAAGGGTAGAGAAGACGAATTAGGGACAAATTCCAGAAGGGTGTCGACGTTAGTCTGTAGAGCTTAGGAATATTACTACCAGTCCATTTCAAGGGATATTATTACTTCATGTCTTCAGAATGCAGCACCTTGTTAATACTGTTTGCAGAATAGTGCTTTTGTTCTGCGCTATCAGAATAAAGGTTAGTCTTATACCTTTGTTCCAGTTGTGGGTTAGAGATACTTGGATCTTTAACCTCTGAAGAAAAGATTCTGTTTCCTTCCATAATTTACTCACTGAAGCCTCCTTTAACCTTGTGAATAACAGGAGTAGCTAAAACGTGGCTCTTGTAGATCTACTATAACATGTGTATAAGTCATACAATATATGGCTAATAAATCATGCTTTGAGGAATAAAGGGGCTAAAATAAATGCATAGTTAAACGCAGTTAGAACTCAAAAAGACAAGCAGAAGTGAAATTTGGCACGTAATTAGAACTGAATACACTTGGGTCAGACCAAAAGATGATGAACACAGACTTTTCTAATCAATGTGCTTAGGTCAGGGGTTTTCAGCAGCACAGACCAACACATTTCTAGGTTAAAGAAAGAAAAAGGAACTGGTTTGATGTCCTGTCTTGGGAAATGAGGCAATCTATTCTTGCTAGAAAAGGAGCAAGAAACAGGGCAAAAGTTTACCAACAGGGGAAGAGAACATTAAATATAAGAACTGGTATCTTTGTATTTGTTGCTTATTCTTTTGTGCATTGTAGTAGTAGCTTATTAAAACTTTATAGTCATTTGAATTTTCCTGATCAGTCACTGCCCGGTTCGGTTGGTGAAGAGACTCCTAAGGACTCTATAAATGTATGACTTCAAACACGATGGTAAGAGTCTTGAAGGAGGGTGCTAAAGCCACAAAATCTAATACCTTCTGGGTGTTGTTAGACAACAACTCCCAGGAGCCCTGGTCATCATGGCCAATGATCTGGGATGATGGAAGTTGTAGTTCAGTAACATCTGGAGGGTCACAAGTTAGCCACCCCTTCTGCATAGAGTTTGTACATTGCATACCTTGCAACCCTCACATGCATGCACTCCATAGTGGAACCCCGATGCCTTATCACCACAGACCCTGCACTCTACATTCAGACTTCCTGAGGTTGCCTCATCACAGCCCATTTGGAGTTGGTCTGACAGAGAAGGTGAAGAACTCTGGGAAAGATCTAACAGGGAAACAAAAACAAGAAGTCATTGCATTGCCGTTCTGCCCCAGACACATAGCATCTCTACAGCACAACTTCCTTACCCATATTTTGCATTTTCCCCAGATGCAACCAACCAGTTTGCATTTGTAAAGCACTGGGTTTCATAGAAAGTCCAGCTTCAGCCTGTATTTGATGTAAACTTACCACTGTGCATAACATGCTTGTCATTTTCTTCACTGGTTATTTCATCCTTCCAGTTGACAAAATCTAGCAATGCATTAGAATCCAGCAGTGCTACGGCATCAGAACCGCCCCCCCTCCCCAAAGCACAGAAGGTTTAAGTGTCTGAAACCAACACTCTTCAACACATGAGACCACAGAACTGCTGTTCAGAATGGAATTTATTGCCACTGCTAGCAAGAGAATCTCTCTTCTCAGTTTGGGCATGTTCTGGGTGCCTTCATATTTCCTTTTCATACCCCGGTCAGGCAAAATCATTTGTTATTCAGTAGAATCACTGAGTCTTTGACAGCCTTGTTTTTCAATGAATTAGTTCACAAAAACATCAAAAGAAGGCAACTCAGGTATCTCTACAGGTCACTGGCAAAAGCTATGGCATAACACCTGAAAGTGACCAACATAAAATATTCAGAGGAAAACTTTCCCACCATTCAAGTCCACAAAACTGAGGGTGGATTTACCCAAAGTTTGTGGCAGAAATACACTTGAAACTTTATTTTTTTTTTATAAAATTTTATTTGGTTTTCTGGTTTTATAAAGACAAAACATACACAAAGAAAAGAAAAAGACAAAAACATGTATAAAATCAACCAATCCCCGTTTCATAAACTTGTTCCCTGACTTCCCCCCACCTCCCCTCGTGCATCCCAGTTTCAAGATTATATCAGCAAGTTGGTATTTCTCCTCTTAACAATGTTATTCATCACCTTATTTTATAATAAAAATTAATTTTCCTAAGTTGGACTTAAGTTCTCTTCCATCGATTTTCATTTTATCTTAATTAAGAGTCATATTAACCAAACCTAAAAGTCTTAAGAGTTTTTAAGAGTCTCTTCATCCCTCCCTCCCATCCCCGGTTTTTGTCCCTTCCCAATAAAAGTCCAAATTCGAATTTCTCAGCCTGGGTTCCTCACGTCCGAGGCTTTCAAATCCCTTTCAGTCCCTCTCCGCCTGTCCCGTTGGTAGTCCTTTATGTCAGTCATCAAGTCTGGGAAAAGTTCTTTCACCATCAAAGTGTTTCCTCTTCCCACAAGGGGGTTCAAAAGTAACTGCTGAAGAATTTCCACAAAGCCTATCTCTTCAAGATCAAAGTCCAAACGGAGGCCCCAAGCATATTTCTTTATTTTAAATTTCTGTGTTCCATTTTGTCCCGGGACCTCCTTCTTCTTCTTCTGTATCTTTCGCAGACTTGTAGTAGATATGTTCCCAGCGTTTCCTTGCTTATGTTCCGCAGATGTCAACTTTTGGTTGTTACTTCCCAGGATTACTTCTTCTTTTTCTTGTTGTTTAGTCTCTTCCAACTCTGTAGGTATTGTTTCCCATTCAGCTGTGAATTCTTTCTCGTTGAGGTCCTCAATACAAAGAGCAGAGTTGCCTGTTCCCAAGGTCATAGTCTCAAGCTGTTTATTCATGGCCAAGCTCTGCTCTTGTAAAGTTCCCACCAATTGAAACATCCTTTCAATTTCCACCAGTAACTTTCCTTCCACAGCCATTGTATCCATTGTAGTTTCACAGAATTCCCCCTAGGGGGAATCTGGTTACTTATTAGCCTTTTCACCAACAATCCTTTCACTGATTATTATTACTTTGTTTCCAACGATTTTAGCTCAATTGTAACTCGTCTTAGTCCAGAGATGACAATTTTTGCACTTTAAACCGACCGTTTGGCAGCTTTGACAGCTGTCAAACTCCGCAGCTCTTACACAGGCACCGAGGCAGGACGTTCCCGGGCCCGGGAGGGGGGGTTGTTTGAAGCAAAAAGAAAGTTCCCAAAACTCCACTCTCCAGCCCAAAATTTCCTTTAGTTAAATCTTAGAAGTTAATGTCCTTTTTAACTCACCCCACCAGGGGTAGGCTCTCCAGCTTAGCTCTTATGCCGTTGCTTAGGTCGTCTGCAAGAGGGGGGGTGCGGACTTCCTTTTAGCACACCCCCCGATCGTCTCCAATTCAAGGTAAAATTTTATATAGTCCCAATCCGTCTTACTCACGGGTAATTCTTTCAGTCCAAATTTTCAAGGAAGGAAGTCAGCGCTCTCTGGTCCTGGCTCGCGGCTTCACTCCACCGAGGTAGCGATCGACTCTCAGTGCCACGCCACCCCCGTATCCCCTCCGCAGCCTTTAAAAAGGCTCTTTGCGAATCAGGGGGGGCGCTTAAGGCACCCGCCGAGTCTTCAGTCCGCAGGCTTCCGCGCCTGCGGTTTTTAAGGGTCCCCGCGTCGCCGGCGCGGCAAAGACCCATCCTCAGTGGAGCCGGTTCCCTCCGGAGCTCGGAGGGAATCCGCCATTTCCAGATCGCGTCAACCCGGAAGTCCAGAAATACACTTGAAACTTTAGCCCAATAAAAAAATTCCTTCCAGTAGCACCTTAAAGACCAACTAAGTTAGTTCTTGGTATGAGCTTTCATGTGCATGCACACTTCTTTAGATACACACGAAAGCTCATACCAAGAACTAACTTAGTTGGTCTTTAAGGTGCTACTGGAAGGAATTTTTTTTTTGTTTTGACCATGGCAGACCAACACGGCTACCTATCTGTAACTTTAGCCCAATAAGTTAACTTGCCTTCCCTCACACTCATGATCACTTCAACATTCTTTTCTGCATCTGTTGAAAGGTTAATTCAAATAACTTCTCTTGTTCTGGATATGTTCACACATGCCTCTTTATGTGAGACCAGCAAGTATGAATATAGCACCATACTAACTTCAGCACTGTTTCTCCTAAGATCATGTCCAAACATAAGTTAAGGAGAGTAATTACAGTGGATTTCCCCCAATAGGATGAGCCCTGCTGCCTTTCCCCTTTAAATCATAAATGACAGATGCACACATTGGTAATCTGAATCCTGATATAGTTAACAGATTTGCCCCTCCCCGATATTTCAGATCATCTTTTAAAATGTATTCTTTTGAAAGCAACACATGTCCATTTAGTAATTTAAAATGTTCATTCATCATCTATGTTTTGTTAGGGGCAATCAGTTTAAGAGCTGAGAAAGTAAACCAGGGATGGGAGGTAGGTGGGTTTGTGATGTAACAGGCACCAGCCAACTAGTGCTGTACACAGGTAGCTAAGCCAGTATTCTCTGAACTCCCCCTTGAACAGAAAATTATTTGTTTGCACTCACCATATTCTACAGTTTTCACAAAATTTATTAATCCTGTTTTCTTCCTGTTTTGCTCACTTTCAGTGAACATTGTAAAGTTCTGCTATGCAAACTCCCTTGCTCAACAGCAACAGAGAGGAGAGACAACAGAACATACAGTAATGAATTCCTGTCCAGGCTGATTAAACCATCTGTGTTCTGTTGCATGACTACTTGCACGGTTCCCTGTGCTAGGGGAGTTCAGAGCAACTGGGGCTATCTTTGATAGACAGGATGTGGGTGGCATCAGTTATTGCATGCCTGAGGAGTAACATGAAGGTGAGGCTTGGATTAGGTGCAAAGGAAATGTAGTTTACAGAGGAGCTTCAGCAGAGAGGGAGCTATAAGCAGAAGAGAGTAAGATGAAAGAGGGTCACAGACAAAAACATTAACCTGAAATGTGAGAATTCCTTGCATGATGAGTGATAGGAAAGCAGTGTTGGGACATTAAGATGAGGGGAGCCATAATCACAGCAAGAGAGGCAAAAATATTATCTTAGTGGGGGTGTTTCCAAACTGTCTCACATATGAGAAAGCAAAGGGAAGCCAACAAGCAGAAGTCCAAACCAGAAATGACCAGCTGGTGACCTGTGGGCCAAATCCAAGTCCTACCTAAGCCTAGATAGCATCAATAAGAGGAAGCATCAGCAGAATGACCATAGCCTGGCTATAAGAAGAGCATTAGAAGGAGCTGAGTATCACCCCATGGATGTAGTGTGTGAGCATGTGACAGTGATAAGGGAGCATGGGAAGAATGAGAAGCTGAATGGAAACATTAGAAATCCCATTTTCACCATGGCCAGTCAGAGACATCAGCAGATGCACAGAAGGAAATGTCAGCGAGATGTTCAAACATGGGACTTGACAGAAAGTGAAAAGAGGGATGTAAAGAATAAATACAGGAGTCACGTAAAGGTGGCAGTTCAGACTGAAAGTTCAAGCACGAACACACAGAGTATTGCAAGAGAGAAGAGGCTCAGAACTGAGCCTGCAGGACATCTGCAGGGAGGAGTGATCAAGAAGGGGTGAACGTCTAAACAGAGGGAGAAAAGGAGAACAAAAACAAAAAACCATAATCAGAGACAAGAGATAGAGAGTGTTGTGGAAAGGAAAAGAGGTACTGAGACAACTAGCTTGGGGTGGGGAATCAGCATAAAATAATGAATTTGTCATATTGTGACAAATTTGCCTACTGAGGGGAAAGCTCACTGTAAAAGTCACCTATTGCTGCTTTAAAAATGTACTGGATGCATTAGCCTGCTTCTCCAACCTACCTGTGTAGCTGATAGAAGGTGCTGAATTATCTGGTCCTTCATTTGGGTCTGAGGTTCCACCTACTGCCGTCAGTGCCTCTTCCTCTTCCTCCTCCTCTTCCCTGACCTCAGGTACTTCCTCCTTTGGCTGTTGCATAACTGATCACCACCCTTCAGTGCCCAGACTGCAGTCCCTGTCATAGCTCTGGCATCATCCACGTCTGTCTGGAAAAGGGCCCCTATCAGGCTGTTCCTGCTAGCCTTCAAAGAAGAGAAGGAAAATGTTAAAGAGCATTTGACAGGGAAACATTGTGCTATGGAGTCTTAGAAGGCCAATGGACCACTGTGTATATAGGGATTGGTAATCTGTGCTAGGATCACAAGCTCTGCACTCAGTGCAAACTAGGCAAATGTATTCCAATGGCAATGTGCCGATTTTCACAGGCTTGGGATGTGATGGCAAGGACAGCTGTCCTCAAACTCAAGGACAGAGGAGTATGGGCCACTCAAGGTTGTACAAGGAAAGGAATAGGAAGCTACGAAAAATACAAGTGCCTTCCCATTGGTCATGGGACAATCACTTTAACCTCTGAACTGTCAACAAGCACAGAACTCTGCAAAAGAATTCCCCTCCACATAAATACAAGGTGCTCACAATCTCCAGAGTGTGTTGAGCATTTTACAGAATGTTTCCATATCCTGGTCACCTTCCCTCTTAAGACCAATTTACATTGTATCTGCTGTGTACATATTCCATTTCCTGACCTTCTTTAGGAATGGATCGCATGGAGAAACAAGATACGATACAGGAAAGAACAACTATGGCCAGCAACTTTTCCCATAATCACAGTGGCACTATTTCCAGTCACTACAATAATGGGAACTGCTGACAATCACATCCTTGAGTATCCACCTCATACATTATGTTTGTCCATGTGAGGGTTTGCTCAAGAATAGACTACTTGTGTGTACATAAACCACACTGTGTAATCTGCCCCTCAAAGAGATGTTACTATTTCTCTATATGCTGAGGGATTTGCTATTCAATGCAGCTGCTGAGGCTGCAATCTGAAGCACAAGACCAGCAGAGGGTGGGAGGGCTTAACCCTTTCCTCTTAGTCTATTTTTCTGCTGAACGTCCTCCCCCTCAAGTTCTCCCCTCCCCAAGAGTCATCTTCAGATTGCTGCCCCAGCAAGCTGCATTATATGAAAAACAACAAAAGAATATCAGAACTACTCATAACACATAGTAACATCCTACGTATTTATGTCTAATTCACTCAGAAGTCTCTTCATTTTTGTATTTGACCATGGAATTTCTTTGGGTTTTAGCCTTAAAAACACACAGCCTTTCAATATGCTACAATGATGTAGCCATCATCATCCTCTGCCCTTCACTAGCAGGTCCCAGGACAGGTTACAACAATTTAGATTTTTAAATTAAAACAGAGTACAATCACAGGAACAGACTGGGCCCTGAAAACACCTATCTCAGGTGTTACAGGCTAGGGTAAAGAGGTACGTGTTCAGCATTTGCTGAAAGCTGTCAAAGAAGCCAGACGCACCTCTGTGGGGAGGAAATTCCACAACTTAGGGAATGCTGCAGAGAATCCATTGAAATTCATTCTATGCACAAAGTCTTGCGGGACCTTAAATACCTTTTTTTTTTTTATTGTGGCATAAGCTTTCATGTATTAGAGCCAACTTCATCCGATGCATATACAATTTGGTGTGAAAGAAAATAAATGTAAGGCTGAACAGTAAAGAAATGCAAAAATTCAGTACAAGACCTTGAAATGTATGCAAACTGGCCCTTCACAGCAGCAGTAATTGGTGATAACACAATAATATTAGCACCTGTAATCAATACCTGTAGTGTGAAAGGCAATAATTGTTCTCCAAATGAATGGAGAAATTGCAATTCAGCAGTTACCTGAGGATTGCGTACATGACAACTGTTTACTCAAAGCTGCCTTTAGGACCCCATCTGCAGTATCATATCACTTTAAACCACAGATTTATTTCTGCTGTGTAAGGGCTTTTAGAACAGCCCCACCTGCCACACATGCATACTTGTCTTTGGCAAAATACTCATGCCGATATGGATCCAGTATCAGAATGGAACAGCTAACTTTGCTGGGAAGGTTTGCTGAGAGTTTTACCACGGGCACACAGCTCTACTTCTGCTATCTGTTTTTAATATTTATTTATTTGTTTCTTTACTTAATTTTTAACAAGTCAGGGCACAAGCACCCTCCTGGCTTGAAATAAAAATGATTTAAGCTCTCTCCTAAAAGTTAATAGAAACTGGGACAAACATATTCCATGGAGAAGTGACTTCCAAAGGTATGGGGCTACAGCTGAGAAGGTCCTGTCCCCGGTACCCATCAACCTAACATCTGTTCTGGATGGGCAACAGAGATGGGCCTCTACAGCTGAGTGCCTGAGCATGCTCACATAAGTGCAAATAATCCTTCAAATATTAAGTCCTTCTGCTCTGAATGGAGTGCAAAGGTAGGAAACTATTGCAGGGGGTAGGATAAGGCTTCTGGTTTTAATCATATTTTGCTTGTTTAAAGCCTATATGAGCACTCTTTTAATGGGGAGCACTCAAACTCTTAAAAAAACATGTTTAACACAACAACAGATAAAACTTCTGAAGAGATCATAGAACAACATAGTCATCACAGGTCGGGACTGATAGAGCTCATGTCACAGGCACTGTAACCAGTCATGACAGACAGGCTAGCTAGGAGCAGAAAGGGGTAGGGGGCTGATGCTCCATTTTCTCAGTGATTAAATGCTGTGGTCATTTGCTCAAAAAGTACAACATCCCTGCCAAAGAAGCACCTGAGGAAAGGCACATGGATCGCAAAAAGCAAATGAGCAAAAACTTGTTTGTCTCACACAAAAATGATAATTTGGAAAGGGGGCTTTAATATTCAAACAATTTAATATTTACTTAAATTTATCTATGTTAAGAGCACTATCCCTGCCAGTTAGACTATGGATGTATGCACTTAAGAGTGGAATCTTCACTTGCATTTATAAGACAGGTTATATGAGTTGAGGGAAGCAGATACTGGTATATACAGACGCAGTTTCACTTTGCTTCTGAAGCAGTTTGAAATCAAGGTGCTTGCAATATACTTAAATTGAACACCTATATATTTGTACAGATGAAGTAGGTAAAAAAAGGAATCCGTGAAAGGACAGGCATCAAAAGGTCTCTAGAACTGACACTGTTTACTGGGTCCCCAACACACTTCGTTTATTTACAGGAGTTAATAAATCCAGCACAAAATTGCCTCTAGACACTTCATGACTAAAACACAGACAGTATCAGACAAAAGACACAGGCTAGCTATCAAATTTCAATCATATACTGAGCTGTCAAGAAATAGCTAGCATGACTGATTACTTGCTGGAGTCACCACCTCTCCAGCTCAGCTGGGATCACACCACTTTCGATGATGTTTTGAGACACCCATGCGCTGAAACACCCAGCTTAGGTTTATTTTTATTCAACATGTTGTAACCAATCCTCCTTTTTGCTGCCAAAATCACTTGAGTGCTTTCTTACTGTAAGCAGATGTTGAGCCTGATCCAGGCACAAGGAGCAATAACAAGAAGATCTGCTGTGCATTCCTGTCCTGCGACAGAACGACAATCAAGCCTCACCCTCACCCTACCTAATTGAGCAAATGGGAGTGAAATGTAATTAAATAATAATAATAATAATCAACATATACACCATGAAATAAAACTGAAGGATAAACAAAACAAAGCAAAGTAAAACAAAACTGAAGGACAGCATACAAATACCATGCAGAAGACTTCACTGCTATTTATAAGCCCACCTGCCTTATACTGTAATCTCAGTGCAAGATTCCAATATATTGATCAGACTTAGTGGCACAGGTGTTGGGTATTTCATGGCCAGGTATGCACCTTTTAAATTCAAAACATTGATATATAACTGTTGTGCACTTAACCCTGTGGCAGAAGCTGCTATCAGATACAACAGAATGGTACCAAGCTTACAAAATATGCTATAATGCTGGGGAAAATATTCAGCCATTAAGCAATCAGTCCCTTGTATCTGGGCAGTGGTACACTGATGAGAACAAAATCTAAATTCCCTATTATAGAAATGTGCCTTCTTTCTAGCCTGACCTTCCTAGGGTTGGATCTAGATACATCAATGAAGAGTTTCAGGGAAACGTGTTGTAAATTTTGTACGAGAAATCGCGTTGGCAAAAACGGGACTCCACAGCGCCATCTGGTGTCACAGTGTTATAATGCATATAATGCATATAAAACACATATAAAACAAAAATGTTGTCCAGTAGCACCTTAGAGACCAACTAAGTATGTTCTGGGTATAAGCTTTCATGTGCATGCACACTTCTTCAGATGCATGCACACGAAAGCTTATACCCAGAACATAGTTGGTCTCTCAGGTGCTACTGGACAATTTTTTTATTTATTTCGACTGCGTCAGAGCAACACGGCTACCTACCTGAACATATAAAATGCTTTTTCTTTACCAATCTAGCTGAGACCTAAGTTTTAGCAGCCAGCCAACTGATCATATTATCCTTCTGTCTGCTATGTTAAATGATTTCTCTCTAAGAACATTCACACCAGTGTTCTGCCTTCTAAAGAGGTGAAAAAGAAACATCTACTGGCTGGTTGCTGATGCAAAATGATTTGGTGGCACTGAGCCCAAACCTTAGTAGAAAGGTTGTATCACTAAATAACCTCTCCTCTAATAGATATTATCTGATTTTCTTCCTAGAGATCTACCAGCTGAAAAACTAAGGCTAAAGTAAGATACTGAAATTGAATTTCTCAGAGTGGACAACTGAAACATCCCATTTTATCAAGAGAAGGAAAAAGTATTTACATATACTTAATGCTCTCTACAGAATCCTAGCTCATTACCAACTAACAAGCTATCCATTTCATAAGTAAATAACATTTCATACCCAGGTCAATGCAGCCAAACTATCATTGCAAAGTTTCCAGACAGAACTGTAAGATGGGCTAGTTTCCCATCTCTTCCTGTTTCTATGATTAACCATACCCAGAATGTCTAACCCAGGAAGCAAAGGGGGAGGGGGTAAAAACACAGGGAGTTGAATCTCTAAGGCCCTGCCCAAGGACGCCATACATACTGCACCCTTTTAGAAAACTTAAGACATAACCCTGAAGAGGAGTCTCACCATGAGAAATCACTCTCATTCTTTTGTATCTTT